GTTTGAAGGTAGTAAAAACGTGATATTTTAAGAACTATTTCACCGATTAACTTAAAAATAAATAGGGTTCGTCCTTTTACATTGTCTCATTAGTATGTGAAGGCTGAGAAATGATAGTGCTAAGGTTCTCTTTAAATCTTGCCCACAAGCTGTAACGGACACACTAACACACATACATACGCACAGTAGCGATGCTATATTATGGCACGCCGATTGCTTCAAAATTATTTTCTGCACGACCTTAAACAAAAATTACACGAGTAAGTAAAAACTTACACAAAGTGAGGAAAATATACACAAAGTTATTGAAATTTACACATACTATTGAAAAACTGCACAATCAGCAAACTATTTACACGATATAGTGAGAAAATTACACAAACATAAAAACGAAAACTGCACGAGGGAGAAGACAACATCGACATAATTCGCAATGCATCCTCATTGCGCACATTTCATTAACTGAAATTTTAATATTGAAACGCATATCATTTTTTGATAGATGTATGTAACAAAGTAGTACATGTAGTCTTAACTTTTGAGCAACGTGTGGTGATTTCATAAAACTCTATGAAACTGTAGAAAAATTATACAGTCCTTTTACTTATGTGAATTAAAGCTTAATTTTATGTTGTTTTTAATGTACCGGCGGTAGTCTATTTTGAATAGTTAAAATGCATATAAAGGAAAATTTAAAATTATAAAATACAGGCACGTAGTATCGTTTTTGAAAAGGGGGGGGGGGCAGCCAGATTTTTTTTTTTTGACAACCTATCTGAAAAAAAACCTTGACAAGCAACAAAAAAGGTAAAGTGTCCAAACTCGAAAATCCTATTACGGGAGGGGGGACCTTCCACTTTGATTTCGAAATACATTATAATACCAAATTAAAACTATCATACAACAAGGGGGGGGGGGGGCAACCAGCTTTTCAGTGGACATTTACAATAGAAGTAGGTTGTGTTTGAAAAAAAGGGGGGCAGGCCCCTACTGATGCTACGTGCCTGAAATATTTTCTAAGAATTTAAGGGTACATATAATAGTCTATTGAAATCAGGATTGCAATTTAACTGATTTGTAACGATATTGTAAGACCAAATTCAAGAAGATGTACAAGATGAACTTAATTAGCTGGGACTTGGCTACACATGCAGATTTTGACAATAATAAATCTGCACACGGTAATAAAACAAAAATTTCTTGAAGTTTATATTCATCATGTGTTTTCTTATATTTTTTCGTCGTCATGCTCGAAGTAAAAACAAGACCTGGTTGATGCCATTGATACACATGTACAATATTGCTATAAAGCAAACTTTTTAATTACTTGTACATATATACATACAAAATTCATATTGCATAGATTAGGCTTTTTAACTCATAACCTGAATTTTCAAAAATGTTAGATATGCACATGAATAATCTTTAAAAAAGTGGAGCTTGTATCAAATATGTTCCTTGAATGTTATTGAAGATTATTTTCATTTTATAATTAAACGGTCATGTTCTTTTTATAATGACTATATCTTTAGGTAAAAAAGTGTTATTACAAAAAAAAACAAAAAAAACAAAAACAAAAAAAAAAAAAACAAAAACCCAAGTGTTTGGATAATAATTAAAATTTTATGCATACAAATTCGAAATGTAAAGAAAATTTGTTATCTTGGAAAATCTTTGTCAAACCTCGAGCTCCATAAAGAACATGATTTATTTGCATTTTTCAAGAGCGATAAAACGCGTTCTATGTTCTTTCTATTTATTATAATATCCATTCCCATTTTCTTATTTGTAACATTGTACGTAGATGTATTTCGTAATTCACTATGTTTTACAATTTCTGACGTGTCATTATGGTTCAACGATTTGAAACTTTAATAAATCCATAGATTCAGATGTTGCGACTCAATCAATCCATGAACCAGATCCACCACTCATTAGTTTAACCGGTGCCAGGATCATTTGAGTAGAATTTTGTTATTTCATTTGGGCAAATTTTAAGTAACAAAACACAAAACCGCATGTATATAAAGCACATAGAGTATTTATTTTCCTTTATCTGGTCCTTATTATTAAAAGCGAAAACATTTTTCAAGTGATTTCCATTACGAATGAGGGTAACGCTTTCCCTTAGGAATGTCTTGTTGTTTATTGAGTAGTTTTTGACTGAAAATATGCAATATCATGGAAGGAATTCATAACAGTGTAGGCTACAGATATCCAACCAAAATTGATATACTCATATTTTATAAGTAAAGATACATGTATAATTAGAAATAATTTTTTATGTTTGACTTTAAAAACATACTGTGTATATCTAAGGTCAGGTAATCCCCACTTTTTAATCTTTTTGAAAATAAAAAAAATATATCCAGCTAACTCCCAAATTAAAAAAAATCTGCTCAAATGAAATCATAATTAGTACAAATGAGAAGTACCAAAATAAATTCTACAATTTAATGATTATAATCAGCAATAATTCTGACATCATTTTCATGAAGAATCCACTTTATTAGTCGTTTTATTGTGCATGTGTTAGTTTTATTTTATACAAGTACTTTCCGTTAAAGTTGTATCTATAAGTTAGATAATTCTAAAAGGCCATAGAGCGTATATTTAAAAAAAATAAATTAATAATTCTATCATTTTTTAAAGCAAGATCTGTTTATCGTTAGGAATTTAGAGTTTGCTGTGTATTACTTTTAGTTCAGAGTCGAGTGCATCATATGCAATGGTACTTTTTCCCCCGCATTATAACACAAACATGCGATTTCTTTCTTGTCACAATTTATGTCCGGCATCATATAATACCTCCATATTTTGGCTAGGATCTCGGTCAATATATATAAGAAAAATATGATATCTCCGAACAACTCAGTTTTAATTTTTTTCACACAGTTCACAAGAAAACACTTCATTCGTTTGATTGGCATTACATGTAGCTAGAAATCGGATCGAGTTATAGCAAAGAAATAAAGAAGCAAACAAACATGCATATCATTGTCAACGCCATTTTCTCCCGATTACATTCAGCATTCAAGAAGAGATAAAGAACACAATGAATATTCTATGTGCATAATAATGATATGCGCAGCTGTATGCGCAGTAAAATTGTTTGTGTAATTTTTAGTTTCCTCTGCTCATGCAGTTTTTTTATTTTACGTTTGTGCATTTTATACCCATTAATCGTGTAAAAAATTTAGGATTCATGTATTTTTCGTTATGTTTGTGTTAAAATCTTTCAAACTATGTGCAATTTTTACCGATACGTGCATTTTTATTTTACTCGTGTATATTTTCCCCCAAGCACGTGTATAAAATCGTGATCGTTGTGCAGAAAATAATTTTGAAGCAATTGGCGTGCCATACTATATCCCCTCCGCAACTAGTTGCGCGAGGGGATAATAATTTGTGGGTAATAAATGTAGCAAAAATCATGACTGTGACAGGGCCTTTAAATAGGTAGATAATTAATAAACAATGTTTAGATATTGTGCTAAATTTCATAGTAAAAAGCAATATTGTACATACTGGGGGTCTGGTTATAACAAGGACTAATGAAAACAAATAAGCTACATGTAGCATCCACAGCTTATCAAATAAAGCTCCTGAATCATCTATTTAAAGATCACATTTATAAACATTCAGTAAAACATGCTTATAGTGAAGTGCCGGGGATAAACAATTTTCATTGTAATTCATCATATATCCGTTCAGTTCACAACACATTTTAACAGGGTTGTCCCTAAGGCCTGGGGGCCGGGGATTTTCCCTGCCTATAATGATGTAATCCCCCAATTATTTTGGCATTCCTCCAAACTCCCCATTAGGGGAGGAACCCCAGATCCCCTTCTACTTTTTAAATGTCCCCTTCTTATTCAATTCTTAGGGACAACTTAAACAGGGAATGAAAATCACTTTACTGTAAGCATAAAATCATTCTTTATGAGCTAAAACCATGTTTTACTGTATTGAATTCACAACATTTAAATATCGATGCTTTTTCCCACTTATAAATTACATGCAAATTTGGGAATTTCAATGACATAAGAAAATGTTTGGCCTTCATTCACATTTAAATTCAAGACTTAATTTTTAAAAAAAAATTTAAGAATATTTTAAAGCATGACTGATACATCTGTTAAACTGCAACTAAAAAAACAGGTTTGCATTATTTTTGCAGATTCAATATGATCAAGTCATTCTAATGCATTTCCATGAGAAAATTCTTTTTCTTTTAAGGAATATACCTTAATAAAGGACAGACGATACGTTCCTCAATAATACATAATTTTTTTTTTCAAGATTTTGTCATTGAAGTATTGCTACTTTAACATGATTATTCACAAAAAATTGAGGTACCTTACCAGGCATTTGTACAAGATATCAAAGGATAGTTTTTCTTATATAATCCATTAGGAAAAAAATTAATTTGCAAATATAAAATTTTTTAGTGTTTGGATTTTTTAAGGATAATTAGAAACTGGTTTAGAAACTAGAATGTAATTAAAATTTTGAATATTTTTCATACATTACGAAGATATACATAACAGATATTTGAGGAACGTATCATCTGACCTTAAAAGTATACCTGAGTACATGATAGTTGTGTGGCTGACCTTCATGAACTGGAGAGTTGTTAACGTTTTACTTATTTTATTTTAAAAGTTTGTTGTTGGTCAATAATTTATTGGACAAGCTAAACATTAAATTATAAAGTGGCTGTTTCTTCCAATGGTAAAATAAGATCGAGCTAAATAGTTTGTCATACATACAGAATACAAAACCAAGTGCTGCCTTTTAAAAATTTTAAATACCCATCAACAATGTAAAAATATAGGTATGCAAACAAAATTAAAAGCCTGAGTTGAAAATCAAAGCTATCTGAAAGCTTTAATCAAATTGTCTATGTAAATAAAGTCAGTGCATTGTTGGTCCATTTACATAACATGACAAAAGGGCTGTATTCTGGCAGAAATCTTGATAAGTTCTCACAGCCTGATCTTGCTATTTACCAAAGTCTAAAGCAATGACATTTCTCTGTGTACTTGTGGACAAATATAACTAAATCACAGCATGGTTCTTCACATTCTCTGGGACTTGAAATAAAGGACAGTAATTTATCATCTTTCTAATTATAGACTGATCATGGATAATCGGAATCCGGGACAGGAGGAAACTGATCAGCTCTGCTACAAGGGGTAAGAATTAACAGAACCATGTACTTATGTTTGGAACAGGTTATTAAGCAGAATAAATAGCAGGGTGACAGACTGGTATCCTAGCATTTTCCATTCTATATATGGCTACAATCATACTTAAAGAATTAAGACTACATGAAACTGCACTTTAGTGAACATGGGTCATATGAAATGGCACACCGGAACTAATTCAGATATGACAATCTTTTCTCTTGGATTTGTACTTTCTGGAAATCAACGATTTAAGAAAGATGAGAAACTTATGAAAGGAAGTGTAGGTATGTAACCAATTAATATCTAACCTGTAACAAACATTGTATTATTTCTAATTCTATTATATTCTGTTTTAAATGGCTGCTATATATAGGCCATTAAGGGTTGAAACTTCAACTCGATTTATAATATATTCAATTTTTGAATACAATCAAACACCAATTCAGTTAAACAACAAATTAGTGAAAAAAGTGAATGTACATAAGTACAATTCTCATGAAATATTTCCCAGATTTCAAGATTGAAGTCTTCTGGTGGCCATATAATTGTGAAAAAACAAGCCAATTATTTCCTATTTTGAAGACTCAAGGGCTGTATAATTTTTTCAAAAGTTGGTCATGCAGAAAGAAACTTAATTGATTTGTAACTTATTACTACACATGATCCACCTGTACAATACAATGTTGTCTCATGGCACAAATTCATAATTCTCAATTTGATGTTACTAGAAATATTTCCATAGGACATAAATGCCCTGCTTAGGGTTCATTAGTAAAGCAACATGAAAATTTGTATTAGGTAATGAAGATTGATCAAAATACCTAGTGTATTTTTTTTTAAAACTGAGTTTGAAACACAATAAATAGTCAAGTCAAAGGTTATTGTGAAGGTCAAGGTAAAAAAGAAATTGGACACAGTTGGTAAATTCTCACTAAATATATATCATGAATAGTTTCTTTAAAACTGAGCTAAACACAAATTTGAGAAAAGTGAGTTCATGTAAGCCAATAAATAGGGTTTACATTCAAGGTCAAAAGAAGGTCAAGGTCAAAACTATTGATGCAATTGAATGCTCTCATTAATATGTATAAACATAATTATAAAGATTGATAAAAATATCTTGAACAGTTTCCTTTGAGATTTAGTTAAACTCAAATTTGAAGTCAAGGTCATAGGAAAGGTCAAGGCCAAAAATGTTAAAGCAGTTGAAAAGCACTGACCAATATGTATTAGAATATTAGATTTGATTAAAATATCTTCAATAGTTTCTCTGAAACAGAGCTTAACACTATTTTAAGAAAAATAAGATCAAGGTAAAAGGAGAAGTCAAGAAATGTTGATGCAGTTGAACAGCTCTAGTCAATATGTATATAAGGTTTGATTTAAATATCATGTTTCTTTGAAATTGAGATAATCACTCATTTAAGAAATTAAGGCTAAGGTCAAAGGAAAGGACAAGGTCAAAAATGTTGATGCAGTTGAATAGCTCTTATCAATATGTATCAGCATATAAAGTTTGATTAAAATATCTTGAATAATTTTTTCGAAACTTTTAAGAAAAGGGAAGTCAAGGTCAAAGGGTAAAAAATGTGAGGTTTGATAAAAATATCTTGAATAGTTTCTTTGAAACTGAGTTAAACACAAAGTGTGATGGAAGGACAGAAGGATGGAAGATTGACACAACAAACACTATATGCCCAGCAAAAATGCCATTAATTTAGAAATATGACATCAAGAAGTTTACCTTCTCCAACCATTTTAGCATATCTAATTTGTATAAAATTGTTTATTTTCATGATTTTTGTTCCAGAAAATACTGAGTCAGACTTGAACAAACTTAATATTTTCATCAAAGATGTTTCTATCCAACAGTAATTACTAACAGAAAAACTTTGCTTGTTCTCTATGTGCTCTATGTTCCCCATAGGAAAAAATCATTTAAAACAACAACAACACATTTTTGTCTTATTTTGATTGGATTGCAAAACAAGCATCATTTCTGATGTCATTTACAGCAAATGAGTGCATATTAATGAGAAAAATGTATTGAAAATATTTCTAAATTAATATAATCTCTTCCACAAAATAAAAAAATAATTATATACATATCTGAGTAACAATTTAAAATGTTAATTTTTTGGGGCCAAAATTGAATATTATCATATATAGTCCTTTACAAGGAATTGATAAGAATTCTGCTGGGAATCTAAAAAATCTTTGCCATATTGGTAAATTCATTATATCAGTGTTTGTAGTAAACAAGTTTTACTGTACTATTGTATTAGTATGGCTATATTCTTAACTTATGATGAAGTCCATACTTGCTTCACCTGAGTCAAGTAAAATACGAGATTAGATAGAATATTCTATCTCCATCATATTGCCTTACAGACATAGGTTCCACAATGGAATATGTTCTGTGCTTTGGCAATTTTACTAGGGGCAGATAATTCTAATCTGGGCTTATAAAAATCAATTTAGAGAGTTGTCAACATGGCAGATAAATCTGAAGCAAAAAATATTGTTTAGAAAGTGCACCATAACATCAAAGATACTGACATTCTTCAAGGTCTACACAAGGGAATTAAATGGACCCTGTCTGCCAACCACCCCCTTACTTTTACAGGAATACTTATGAGCTAGCTGAACTGTATTTACAAATGAGGATACAAGTATTTTGTCATTAATAATTATACCAGTAAATTCTGAACTACACCCTCATAATCAGATTGTAGGAAGTCAATAGGTGTGGTTAACATCTCAATAGAAATGGGAGGAAGAATAGTAAGACTAGTTAGTTTACTTACTTAAATAGGTGAAGATAATGAGCAGTGATCAATCCTGCAAACAGACCAATTATGAGGAAGGCAAAAACTAGATCCCCTGGAAACACCAGAGTTGGGATCAGGTGCCTAGGAGAAATAAGCATCCCATGTATTGATCATGTAAATCATTTAAATGGAGTAATCTGTAGTCAAAATTATGTCAGTTAAAATACAACCCAATGATTGGTTGTATTTGCAAACAAGGTCATTACAACAACCATAAAATTAGCAAAATACCAACTTTAAATGAGATTATACAAAGCCCTGTATTACCAACTTCTTTGTCAGGAGCCTGACTCAGTTTAAAAATTGGTTGTACTTTGAACTTGCTCTTGTGTACCAGTACTTCAGTTGGAAGACATAAATACCATATGCAGGCGAGTTGGAATATTACTATATAAAGAAGGGAAGTTGACAATGGAAAAGCTGAAGTCATCCCATTTGTCATACAGTTTAGATAAGAGTTTGCCATTAATGACAATAGTCAGTAAAATGCAATATGAAACAAATGTGGCAGCCTGTGATGTTTTTTATTATGAGTTTACTGGTCCAGCAATATATCAAGTTCACTTCTGAATGAAAGTAACCATTGTGAATTATTAAAACATCATCAATATATTTAAACATTGAATTGAATGCCATAGCAATAATTTTCTTCTTCTAACATAGAAGTTTTTGCATAAATTCTGCTTAAATAGAAGAATTTTATAGTAGTATTTCAAGTATATAATTACAGGTAGGCTGATAAAGGAGCACAATTAGTACACATCAGAATTCCAACAGTTTTTGAAAGACATGGTCTCCAAAGACTACATAAATGTTGTCAATGAGAAACTCCAGCAACTTTTTTTATATCAACTTCAATGTACTTGTGTGTAGAATCAGAATAATTTTTAACAAAATGATTTTGTAGGCGACTAAATAAGGAGAAATGTAAAATGAAAAAAAAAGTGTAGTTATAAAATTAAACTATGAAAGCTTGAACCTGTCCTTTACTCATAAATAACATGGAACTTTTGTATATAAAAGTAAATGATTCAGAATAATTGCGATTCAAAGTACAGTCAAACCTCATTATCTCAAACTCCATGGGACTGATTGGACTTCTGAGATATCCAAGAATTTGAAATATTGAGGTTAAAATATGTAAAGGAAATGTGATTCATGGAACTCATCTCACTCTGACATATCCATGGTTTCTGAGATACTGATGTTCAAGAGACCAAAGCTCAACTGTAATTATTTATAAAAAAAGCACAGAAAAATTTAACTTATCTCTTTCAATTTCTTACATGGTAAAATTTTATCAGTAGATGAAAGACAAATAATATCCAAGAGATTTGTTTCTTTCAGTCATTAATATTTCTATTGAATTTGTTGATTAAGCATTAACATTGGTCGTCTTGATTAGAACTTTTCTTTTTTAATATCTTGCTTCTCAAAAGTCAAAATTTAAACTTCTGGCCTTTTCATCGGATCAGCTATTTCATACACAGAATTTCTTGACACACAGAGAAATAATTCCAGCTGCCTATCACCTTAACGGTGATATTGTTCTTTGGCTTATAAACGGATCAGCAAATCTTTAGGAAACCTTAATTAACAAAAGCTTTGTTAATCCCTGTTTAAATGTCTACATGGCCCTGTCGCCCAGGCTCCCATACATAGATATAAAACAATACCTGCATATTATACAATATGTGTAGTGCACCTCTTAACTAACAGCTATCTCAAAATTTCATATCATGGAAGTGATTTTATGGGTAAGTCGAGAACATAAATGTGCCTCATTAGCTATTCAGTTTTCCTCAATGGTATCTTATCCTGTATCAAATGATTGAAATCTGTTTAATGACTTGTAAATAACCTGACGTAATTTAAATGGCCTTTTTCGGACATTTAATTGTTAAAAAAGAAGTCACATTTGCTGGATTTAACTGAGAGTAAATATGAGGTTTGTCATTGCATAATCATGACCTCGAGACTAGTTAAAATTCATAAGGTCAGTATTTAATTTTTGGAGCTTAATATCTGTTAGTATGTTTTAGCATTATCAATGGTCACTTAATATACTAGTACTATCTGGAAAATTTGAGAACTGTGAATGGGTTTTCCATTTAGTAATTGAAATCAAGTATTTGAGACAAATCAATGTAGCTGATCAGTCCATCTGATTAATAGTAGTGAGTTAGTGAACTGAGGTATTCATTTAACCATCATGGAGGTAATTATGGATTATATTGACAAGGATCTGAAATCCAGGTATTTTTTAACTTAATTCTGAAAATAAATATCTCAGCATCTAGTCCCATGAAATAAATTTTAATCTTTGTGGAAAATATCATAGATCTGATCATGAAATTCTTTGTAACAGTTGACAGGTTGAGAAATTTAAAATGTCAGGAATCTCAAAATTTCAGTACAGCCTTTTCTACAGATCTGTAGATTTCTACACAGGCTGTTCTGTAGATCTGTAGATTTCTGGACAGGCTGTTCTGTAGATCTATTGTATCATATTCTTTACATCTTACTCATTGTCAAGATTGGACTTTAAAGATAAAACACCGTTACTGATCAGATACAAGATTTTTTTTGTCCAACTTTCGTGAGAAGGATTGAACATCATGTACCAATATCATATGCATGCATGCCTAATTAATCAAAGTTGAGATCAATCACTTTGGATTTATAACATACCCAGTAAATAATTCAGTCTCAGTTTATATATATATACTCAAGCCACTGACTTTCCAGCCAGATAAATTGAATGGCAATAGGCAATAAGCATCCATGGACCTTCATTATACACAGGTGCATTATTAAACCTTTGAAATCAATTTTATTCCTACTCAGTCCTTAAAGGATAAGTGTCATTCACAGCAAATATTGTGAAAATGTCACTCCATGATGTATGTTTATGGGAATTTAATTTCAATCAGCATGAAAAATTCACAGGTATGATGATGCTTGGCAAAGGGCATTGTAATTAAATCTTGCAACATGCGTAACATACCTGCATGATTTTGGCAATTTAATCTAATAGGTACCATACTTATGTTTGCCATCTTTTGAAGTTGATATTTGAATAAAAAGTTAATTTTTAACTACCATTCTCTAATGAAAAAGTTTGGGCGAACTCTGCACTCAGATTATTGAAAGTACAATTTTCAGCAAAAAAATTATCTTAATACATACAGAAAATTGTTGCTTTCTTAAAGGTGCTTAAACACAGATTTGAACTTAATATTTTCTCAAATTTTCTTATAATATCATGACTTATATATTGCAATAGCATTTCACACAAAAATATAATAATTTTATCTGGAAATTATTGGAACTACAAATTCTGGGATGCGTTTGATTAACACATCTTTGCACTTACATAAATTTTAACTTTATCCTTAATATTTAAGAAATGAAGCAATTTTGTTATGTATTAAAGAAAAATATTACATCTATAATCCAGAAAATTCAGAGTAGAAATGTTCGAAAGCAAAACCAACTCACCAGTATTGTCAGTCCGTGCTCTGTGATGTGTACAGAGTTTAACAAATTGAACACACCCGTGAAACGTAAACTGTTTTTGTAAACAGGGCACGAGCTCTGTTATTGTTAATGTTTATGATTCACCGGGTGTGTTCAATTGTTAAACTCTGCAAACACCACTGAGCAACGACTGTGAGTGGGTTTTGCTTTCGAACATTTCTACTCTGAATTTTCTGGGTTATAGTTTTAATATTTTTCATTAATACACAACAAAATTGCCACTTTTCTTAAGTATTAAGAATAAAATTAAAATATGTGAAAGCGCAAGGATGTGTCAATCCAACGCCTCCAGAAATTCGAAGTTTTAATAACTTCGAGATGAAGTAAGATTTTATCATATTTTAGTATGAAATGCTATAGCAACATAAAAGTCATGAAATTATACAGAAAATTTGAGAAAATATTAACTTCAAATCTGTGTCCAAGCACCTTTAAGAAAACACATTAATGTTTTTCAGGGATTTTCAAAATGAAGCAGTGAAAGGTTTATCAGAAATAGTTGAGTATAGGGAAACCATGGCAACACCAAGTAATGGCCGTCTTCCACCTTCTGCGGCCTCCTCTGACCAGCTGTCCATGGAGTTTGAGATCACATCTGTAGATGATGACATTCTGAATACTGTTGAAAAGTTGTTCAACTTTGGAAAGTCTGGGACAATTCCATATGAGACAATACAGGACATTTTGGGTAAGTTGGTAAATTAAGCTGAATTTCATAAAGTGGCAATTGAGCAAAACCTGTCTAATCTGACATGCTTTAGAAACTGAGTTTTATGTGTTAATGTTGTAAGTACAATAAAACCTGTCCACATTGACATGCACTAATTAAGAACTGAATTTTTTGTTGGATTGTACAGTATCATAAAAATTTTGCTTTTGAATACAACTGTTCATTTTTTTCAATTTCCCTTCTTTAAGGATACATAACACCAAAAAAACCCCCTAATACTGTAGATTCCTTATTTTATGTGAGTACTTAATATCACAAAATAGCTCTTTGCTGCCAAATCGCCAGAACAATATTTCGCAAGTGGCCAGTTGATCAAGAGATTTTACATGGATTTCAGCCCATAAAAAAGCAAGTAATTTTATTCCGTGTATGGTGCTTACATAATAATTAATTCCTCACGTTTATTTAGGAATATACAGTACATGGATTGATATATATTTTTTGACCGATTTTGAATAGAAATGACATAAATAATAAATCTCTAAAATATAAAAAAAATCATAAGTTTTCTTTCATGCTAAAATATGCCACTTTGTGCCATTTTCTATGTATTTCTATATAAAATTTTGCACATATTTTTTAAGGCTATTATAAAATCTTACAAAATTTTCAAAATTACCTTGGCAAACATTATTCATGTTGCCTATATTAATATATATCTATGTGATATATTGCTGATTTCTGAGAAAAAAGTTATCTTTAATTAAACAAAAATGCACAAAATCAGCTGTCATTTTTCAGATGCATTGCAAAGAGAAGAATGATGTTATTTTCAAAGATTGAAAAAAAATATTAAATACATAGTCATATTTAAAAGAAATATAAGCTATAACTAATGTGAGCTTAAAAAAAACAGTTAAGGTTTATTTAATTGCATAGCTAATGGTAATGAGAGGTCTAGTAACCACTCAAAATCTGTCAGTCCATCATGCTAAAAGGAGGGGGGGGGGGTTTATCTCTTTTGTATAATCCATATCTCCTGTCAGTCATTGAGTCATTGGAACTTTGCACAGTAATTGTACACACATTGAAGATGTGCACCTCATTTTTTGGATTAATTTAGTTGAATAGAATCCTGTTTTTATGCCCTGCCATGAATATTGCCAGGGCATATAGTGATTGTCATGTCCGTCTCCCAACTAGCTGTCATTCTGTCTGTCTGTCCATACATCACACTTTGTGTTTAGCTCAGTTTCAAAGAAACTATTCAAAATATTTTTATCAAACTTCATACATGTACTACTATATATTGATAAAAGCTTTTCAACTGCATCAACATTTTTTGACCTTGACCTTTCCTTTGACCTTGACCTCACTTTTCTTGTTTTTTATTGCAAAAAAATTGTATAAGAAAAAATAATGCTATTTTTTTTTTTATTGTTGAACATTCTTCTTGGTATAACAGTTAAAAGTTCAAAAATATATATTACTGTGTGCCTTCACGACATCATTTAAGCTGTGCAACCCCTATTCTTAATTAAATTATGTAAACCAAAAAGTTGTGCAAAACCTATTTTAACTGAATTCTATAAATATATAAACAGAATTTCAATTCTTTGACTGTTGAACCATCATTTTAGACATCCCCCCCCCCAATACAACAAAACTTGGTAACCGTGAGGTGACCTGCAGACCTGTGAATTTACTTGGCTATATCTGCAAATTGTTATATCCGTATAATGAATTGGTGAAAGTATATATAGAACAAATTTGCAATACACATTTTCCTTTAAAAATGTTGTCACTTCCAAATATGTTTAGGGAGTATTAAATACAAAATGTATATGAAATTTAAATTGTCAAATAATTGATCACATCAACCTTCCAAATTACTGATTATCGATTCTCTGCAGCCTAAAACTGCCTTTGACAGCTATTGTCTAATCTTGTATATCTGAACCATGTGTGCACTGAAGTGACAGAAAATGTATTGTCACATGTTCATTGACTGAAATGACAGTTTAACTGCAAACAAGCATGCATAGGTGACTTAAGAAAACCACAGGACCTATATTTGCATACAAATGATAAACATATTTTTTGCCACCTCTGAATTTAGCGTTCGTGTATATACATAATTAATCAAAAGTACTTGGAATTTTTAGTTGTGTTTTTCTTTCTTTATTTTTATCAATAATGTGAATTTGCAAAATTCAGAAATGTAAAAATTAATATATACCATTTTGATCCAAATTCGCTAAAATGAATTGACTTTAAATGTTTCAGATCTATAGTATATATAAAAATATCTGTTAAAATCACTTAACTTGCATTTCATAAAAAATTCTTCAGCTTGCTACAATTCATCAACAAAAACTTATATTTTTACCCACCTCCAAGTCCTTTCAGTACTTTGATTTTTTTGTAGAATTTGTGGGTCGTTAAATGCTGAATATCACAAAGGTGAAAAAAAATCTACATACTGTTTTGACATTTAAAGACGGGAACACAGCCCTGAACGATGAAAATATTTATGTTTACTGAAATTTATAACAACTATAAAATTTATAATCAAAAGGATTTTATAAATGCTATCACCTGTTTTGGCAGATGAAAGAACATACAGTCTGAGCCTAATCACTGGTGTGCTCTTTTTTAAGAACTGGGTTCTAAAATCTCTTCATGGTTTACAGAATATTAGGTTTGTCTAAATAAGTTTCAAAAGATGATGCTCCTGCTAATAGAAAACGACTGGGAATTAATCTTCATCAGAGGGATGAACTGGGATAAAAGTTAATTGCCATCAAATCACGCAGCTTAGCAGAATGATTTACGTCGAGAATTTCCCAAATTAATCAGTCTCACGCACATGATCATCGGTCACATGAAAATACTTATACATGTTAAATCAGAGTATTTTGTACAAATCCTGTAAGATTCTGCATGAATTGCATCATTATCTACTTACTCTATTTCCTTTCTCATTTAACGGTATTTAACTCTAGAGTTATGGCATACAGGTCTATGTCTTTCTTGTTGGATAACCAACAGTCTTGCTACTATTCTTATACCATTGATTAATCTCAATGATTTTTTTTTCTTTGTTTTTAAGGTAAAGCCATACAAGCAGAGAGAAACCACTGGAAGGATAGACTAAACAGTGCCATGCAGGAAATTGAGAGACAACATAAGATTCTGTTGACTGAGCAGTCTTCATTACAGGATCTTTGTGGCATGTTTGATGACAACAACAAACCAGCAAACAATGAAAAACCCAGTGAAGACATTCTAGAGGAAAACCTTACCACTGAGCAGCTCATACAAAACCTCAAATTCAAAATCGAACATCTGAAACAGATCTCTAGTTATATGGAACAAAGTAAAGAAGTTGGATCCATTTCAGATAAGTTCCCCTCCAAGAAGAAATATTCAGAAATGGATATCAAATTCATGAAAAATGCAATAGCCAAAATTCACTTTGAAAAAGAGTCTTTGCAGAGCAAGTTAACAGAAAAAGAGACTGAAATTAAATGGCTTCAGAAAGAATTGAATGGAGTGAAAAATCAGTTGTACAAATTACAAGACATTGTAAAAGAATACAATGAAGATCACCAAGGGGCACAGTTTCATTTAAATCAGGTGGAAGCTAGTCCTCGTCAGAGTCTAAAAACAAGTGATAGGTTCAAGAAAGAACGAACTTACATAGAGGGTGACCAGCTACAATCCTACCCAATACCGAGTGAAGAATCGGCACTGTGGAAATTACGGCTACGATCTCAAGTCTACTCCACCAGAAAGGGGAATGTGAGGACGGGGGTCACGCAATGTCTCCGTTGTCAGAAACTGTTCAAACCCTCCGACAATGGCCCCAAAGCCTGTAGGTTTCACAACAAGGGCAGAGAAATCAAAGAACAATATGATGAAAATGGGAAACTTTCAAATGTTATATACAAGTGGGCATGTTGTAAAAAGGGACTTGACACTGTTGGATGTTCAACAGGGTATCACATCTGATGGTTTATAATTTAGTGTTGTGTATGTAAACATGCATTAAAAAATTTAGTAAAGTGGCTGCTTTGAACAAATATATATACATAAATATACTAAATTTGTGCACTCTATTGTAGCTGCTTAAACTGTTTTTCAGAAAAAATATAAATATACAAATATTTCTGAACAAATAAAATATTTTCAGAGATTTCTTACAGAAATAAAAATTGCAAGGATTCCTCACAAATATGAAATCAATTCAAATTTGCTGAATCAATGAATGGAAATGACAATAAAAATATTGTTCTGAGTTTTTGATGCGGCATTTATTTACACAATTAACCAGCAGACTCTTGGTTTGTGACATTATGTACTCAAATATAGGCCCCTACACTTGTAACCTTAGAGAGTTACCTACTTTAGAAATGTAATACAGTCAACACATTACATTCTTGCCACCTTTAACTAATATTAAAACAACTTGAAGTAAAAAGATTAAAAGACATATAAATTTACAACATCTTCTCTTTGTAATTTTAAAATACTGCAGTCCTAGATTTACACGTTAAATCTCTTCTGTGTGAAAGTAATCAAAGTAAATCTGCACAACAGCCAGATTAACAAATTAACAATCCTATTTGAAAATCCATGTAAGCTTGCAACAAAAATGCATGCATTAATAAGAGAATAATTAATACATTTGGTTGAGTGAGTAAAGAAGAAGGATTTTGCCAAGACACATGTCCCTGTATTGCCAAATTGATGATGAACCCTGATCAGTTAAATACTTAGAAATGAAAAGTATCTTAAATTTGTTGACAAAGATTTGTTTTACTGTATTTCTGTCATCTTTAACCAATCCAAGGGCCAGGGCATAATCAATCACTAGATTGATACAGACAGTAAAAGAAAAAAAAATCACAAGTATGCATGATTTCTTCAAAGTATCAACTGACAGGTTGATTGAATCTAGCCTTCAGTACGACTGTGCTAGACATGGTTCAGACACTATAATATAATTTGGAGAAATTCAAAATGAGGCTACTATGATCTACTTATAGGTCATGACAAACCTTTATTCTAAAATCCAATCAATGCCAAGATTTGTCAATGTACTGTGGATGTCTTTGTAAGCAAGATATAAAATCTGTAGCATAATATGAGCAAATTTGAAGAATTGTGGTCCTCCCGCTTTTGGTGTCTTAGTGGTTGGGATGCAATTATTTAAGGCATTATATTGGTAATAACTTTCTTGTTTTTGTGTCCTGTCTTTTCTGTCCATCACAAAGTTATAAATTATTGTATTAATAAAAGTTATGACAATGATTAAAGCTTCTCAAAACTGAATCAAACTTCAAGATCAAGGTCATGAGGTCAAATATCATAATACAATCCAAAAAGTCTTGTCACAAGTAATGCACATGTGATAAAAATATGAAAGCCTCATCTTTTCTGGAGCAAAACAAAGTGAAAAATTTTGACTGGTCATGGGTCAAAACTGAGATACCTTTCTCAAAGATGTTGTCATAGATAACGCATATGTAAAATATGAATGCCCTATCTTCTCTCATTCTAAAGTTATTAAAATGTATTAAAAAAATACTATAGGTTATACTTTAAGGACAAGGTCATGACATTTAAAAACCAGAGTACATTTGGAAAGTTCTTGAAACAGGTAATGCACATGTCAAATATAAATGTCCTATCTTCTCTCATTCAAAAGTTATTAGCTATGTTAAAATTAGGTCAAACTTCTATGTCAAGGTCATGGGGTTAAAAATCATAGTGCATATGGAAACCTCTTGTTACAGGTAATGCACGTGTCAATTTTGAATGTCCTATCTTCTCTCCTTCAAAAGTAAGCAGCAATGATAAAATTTTTGAAAGTTAGATCAAACTTCAAAGTCAAGGTCACTGGGCCAAATATCATAGCACATTGGAAACTTCTTTGTCACAGGTAATGCAGTTGTGAAATTTGAACACTCTATCTTCTCTCATTCAAAAGTTATCAACAATATTAAAGTTTTTGGGAATAATGTCAAACTTCAAGGCCAAGTCACAGGGTAAAAAATCAAAGCATGTCCAGAAAAGTCTTGTCACAGGTAATGCATGTCCAATATGAATGCCCTTTCCTCTCTCCTTTGAACACTATAATCAATGTTAAAATTTTTGAAGAGTAGGTCAAATTTCAAGGTCAAGGTGTCCAAAAAATCATAGTATATTTGGAAAGGTCTTGTCACAGATACATGTAATGTACATGTGAAATATGAAAACCTTTTCTCTTCCAATTCAAAAGTTATGATCAAGGTAATTGTACTTTTGCTAAAAAACACCAACTGCATTGTCCTTGTCAAAAAGCTACAGAATTATAATTATTTTAAACAACAAAAAGTCTGTTTAATCTTGGACTGTTAAGCCATGGGTGCTCACCATTATTTTGACTGCTTTCTTTACCACAATGCTGGTAAATGACCATCCAAGTAGATTTAAGGCCTAGTTGAGTCATACACAATACTACCTAAAGCTTCTTTTCTGTTCATATGCCAGCTTATTACTATCCGACCTTAGATTAAGGATTAACAGGACAAAACAATTGCCCACTGCTTAATTCTTATATGACGAAAGAATATTGTGCATAAATATAGCACTGTTTTTCTAACTGTTGCAATACAAGTGCATGTAAATGAATGTGGCTTTCATCATCTGGTCATCTGGATGATAATTGTTAGTTAATCAAGCATTATCTGGATTGCTATTTTTGGAATTCAGTTCTAATTTACTGTGACCTTTATCTCTTTCAATGAGTGAATTTCCAAAAATGGACTGAATCTTAGCTACTGCATTTTGATGATAATTGTTTTTAATGGAAGTGGGGTATTCAGACAGCCATTCTTTATATTAAAATGAAAACATAAAGTGCTACTGAGCAACATGAATGATGCTCAGAGAAATGTGCTCCAAAGGCACTTCAGACAATTGGCCAGTGACCTGATTCCAACAGAGGACTTTTTGGGGATGCTTTATCAACACAGGATATTTGAAAGAAATATGATTGAAATCATCAAGGTATAATACATCAGAGAAATATTAATACATGAACTGTACTATATATAGTAACATATTGATAGGAAATTAAAATCTAAGTTATTAGTTCAATCACCTTGCAGGACATAATTGGAAGTCATATATTACAGAATGCCTTGTATGTACAATATTTCTCCCAGAAATAATTGTGAACACTGCATGTAATTTAATATTTATAAGTTCTTATAACACGAATGTAATTTTTCTTCCAAGTCAATGTAAATCACTTAAGATAAAAGAAAATACCAAACATTTTGCAAAATTCTTAGTCATAGGGGGCAACAACCCCCCCCCCCCCCCCCCCCCCCCCCCCCGATTTTTGAAAAGAAAAAAAAAGAAAAAAAAAATAATAATAATTAATTGAACATGGCAATAAAATTATCTGGGTACTATATTAAAGGCATATAAAAATGCATTCTTTTTAAAGTTTAGATGACTGACTGAGGGAAAGAAACAAGTTTTTTTTGCAAAAGTTTTATGCACTTTCAGTACTAGTTGAAGCCTAATATTATGTACAAACTACTTACAATAAAAGTAATAGTACTAAGTACTTTTATACATTATTTATTACCATTAATCAATTTTCATTACTTTTTTCTCAAAGAAATGATATATATGCATGTTTGAGCATCCATGGAAGCTAAGCCACTGCCATTTTAAAAGAGCAATCAAATTCTGTACACACATGGATAAGTTAAAGCTATTTAATATGCTATGTTACTTTTAGTGCAAAATTCCTCTTTGTACCAATGCTTTTGTATATATTTTACATTTTATCATAACTTTACACAAACATCATGCATATATATGGGACTGAATTTTTTTTTTAATCCCACAGATAAGTAATTTTTGTGATTTGCTTCAATATTCATGTTGACAGTTCACCTAGTTGGGGGAGGGGAAATTATATGTATATGTAATGGACAAACATAAAAATTAACCTGTCTTTAAACTTTACACATGGAAGATCCCACTGCAAACTGTGTTTTGTTTCCTTACTACTCCACAATTTTAAAAATAAGTTGAATTTTACTACATGATCAATTCATTACTAGATGATCAATTCATTAGCCTTTAATTGGTACACTGTCATCCAATCAAGCATAAAAGGACTTATCGCATGTTTCTCAATTACTTGAAATTAAAAGTCATAGATGTTCCTTATGATCACAGTTTATAAATTTTGTGTTTTAGTGCGGATATACTGCGGTAATTAAACATTAATTGACTCAAATGAAAACCCCTAATATAAAAATCAAAGTTACTTAGATATCGATCATGTGACTGTGTGACGTACGTCAAAGTCAACAATGGCTGATCAGCTCTTAATTCACATTAATTTTACTAAAATATACGTGATACAACCTACGTTATGGACAACCAAATCACTGATTTTGTCCATATGAATTTGGATATCTAACCTTTTATTTTTTTACTGTCAACAAGAAAATTCTGCAAAATCTGTTAACATTTGTAGGGAAGATAGCCAGGGAGACCCCCGGTGAAGACGAAGAAACTGACCTCACAATACAATTTGATTTTTTATCTTATCACACATATTAATCAAATTCTATTTACAAAATTAACATTATAGAACTTTTTATTCATTTTCATTACTATTTTAATTTAAGTAAGTATACCTTCGTAGATTTGGTAAAGGCTGGCGGACTGAAGAAATAATTTCCCCATCACAAAACATTACCACAATCAGAGCTACAGATTTTAAAAGTTTCGTATAAAATTAAAAATATTACAAAAGTCTTATACCTTAAGTTAGATCTAGTTCATAATTTTATAGTTATTGAAATACACTTTAGGAATTAAAATCTTTCAGCATTTTTCGTAATTAGGCTGCATATGTTGTTGGTAACTCCATTAACAAAGTGCAATATCTTTATCACTCAATTTTCGCATATGACGTCAGAGCAGTATTTTGTCAAAATCCGATTGAAATATGCATATAGCCATATTTGAATTTCAACTCTCAATATAGTTTAAAATATGCATACAACAACTTTTATTGAATTCAGTATTTTAATAAACTAGATTGTAGTTAGTATTTTTCATAAAAAAATTATGATTTTCAAGAGCATGCAATAAGTCCTTTAAATCTAGGGAATATGGAACTTTACAGAATTTTACATCACTTCTGCAGAATTTTGCCACTGCCAGGGTCATTTGTGTGTGGGTCATTTTGTGTTCCAAGCACAAGCCATTTATTAAGAAACTAAAACATTGATATTTGTTATCCTATACACTGCCTACAAGCACTGGGATCTTATATAACAGGCTGAGCGGACAGAGGGGGATATGGTATACAAGATGCTGGAGATGCTCCCTAAGAGGGGACCTGATGCCTTTGATAACTTCCTCGACATCATACAGAATGACTACCCATGGCTGGCAGCCACTCTACAAAGCAGTCTCAAGACAGAAATGGCCAAATCCTGCAGGATTGATTCCCATAAAAGTGATTTTACAGGTAACTTTTATCTTCTTATTTCCTGACCTGCAAACAACAGAGTTATTCTGCAGTAGATCCATTTCTTTGTTCCTCTATTTCACAATATGCATAGTAAATGAGAGAAAAGAAAGACAACTTGTTTAAATTTCTAGCTATGTAAGGCTATCTGGATAATTTCTTTCAGACAATATTCGCTCCACCTCTTGCATTGATCCAAATGAGGCAGAACCAGATATCAAAGCCAGAGTGAGTACTTTTGTTCACAAACAGTTTGGACAGAGTAAGCGAATCTCTGAAAATGACAAGAAATGTATTCTACGATGGATGTCTCAACAACTTCAAATGGAAAGAAAGCGGACTGTGTCTGCCTCCAGCTCACGGACAAATTCGTCCATGGCCACTCCTCCCCCCATGGTGGATGAGGCCACAAGTACAGAAGATTTGATTATCGATGACAACAGAATCTCTGAAAGACTCTTTCACAAGAGAGTACAACAAATCAGTGAAAAACTCCACCAAATGAAAAAGCTCTCAAACAATGATTTTTTAAATGGTAATGAAACTGATAATAAGAATTGTAAAGAAAATGGAAAGAAATCTGTGACCCCTTCCTCTTTCGATTTAATACTTGCTGAGGTGGATAAGTTAGTGGAAAAAGTGGAAAAAATGGAAAATGAGATAAGCAAGTGTCACATAATGTTAGGGGACAGAGAAAAAAATATGTCTCTTTCCTTACTTATCTACGATTTGTCACTCACTGGGAAAAACAAAGACAAAGACCTGCAATCCGAGAAAAACAAAAGTGAAAAAATGTTGACAGAACTCTATGAATATTCCAAGAAAGTGACCAAACTGGAGCAGGTTCGACATCAGATGAAACAAGTCATAGACAACCAGGCTGAGGAAATGAACAAATTCAAGACAGAAAACACAAGGCTTAAAGACCAAATCATAAAACTGGAACAGATCAATATGATGCATGTTGAAAAACAAAAGACTCTGGAAAATCTTCGCAACATGGTGCGAGAAATTCAAAGCTCTCAACAAGATTTGTCCACAGCTAGTGTGCGAAGTGTTCAAACCCGTGCCTCTTTGGAGAGCAAAAGCAATAGTTCCCGAGTGCCTGCATCCCGTAGGTCTTTTCGTCCTAACCAAGTACGACCTACGGATGACAATGCCAATCCTTACTATACAAAGCGGACAACATCCAATGCCTCAATGTCATATACTAACAAAAGAAATGACACTTCTATTCCATTTTCTAGTAAGAAATATTCATCAAATGGGAGGTCTACTGCAGTTCCAAGGAAGGGGAATAGTGGACCATTCAAGTGATTTTCAAGGACAGTGGACCATTCAAGTGATTTTCAAGTACAATCATCAGTGTTGGGATCAATTTTGATTCTTGTGAGACTGTTAAAAGGAATATTTTTAAAGCTTGTACACAGATTTGTTTTTAAGTTAGTGAAACATTTTCTTAAACAGTTCCTAAAATATTCTGTCAAGTTAGAAAAATTTTTAGCAATGAAACATTAATTGTATGTTTTTCCTTCACATTGTATGCTGTGAAGAGAAAGATTTTATGTTGGAGTTATTTTCCCTTGTTCATTTGCTTTGTTCTTTTTTTATTGGCCTAAATCCAATCTCCTTAGCACTGATTGAAATTCATGTTCTTTTAAAAATAGTCATAAAAAATTAAATTATTGCTTCACTTTGCAAATCAAATTAAATAATAAAATCATGGCTATTCTTTTCTTTTTATAAGGATAATTATTTATATGTGCAGAAAATTCAGGTGTCATTTGGACAGCAATAATTCCAAATTAATCCACAGATATGTAATTACCAGGGTATGAAAAATAGGGAGTCCCCCTACTTTTTCCTATGATTATAAATCCAAAATGTTTGTTATGTTGCTATGCTGCTATAAATTGTTCTACCATGCATAATTAACATAGGGCACCATAATTCAGCAGCAGAATTAAAGAGAACACCTGACCTTAAAACAAGAATTACACAAACTGTCACAAGCTATCACTGATGAGTTTGAAATTAAAGTAATGCAATTCAAAACATTCCTTGACATCACATTTTAATTTAAAAAAAAGAATAAAATTCTTTTATAATGTAAATGTATTAAGTACTATGTATCATCAGCTACATGCAGACAGATCAGGATAATATTTGTTTCAAGGCAAGCATTTGGAGATCAGATATATGCATTTAAGTGCCAGTTGATTAAGGCAGCATTATTCCAGCAGTTAATGCGCTGTATAGTCACTATCTCCAACAATGAAACTGAGTTTATCATTTATGCTGTATACCACTACTGTCTGTCAGTAAGATGTTAAGTTGTGGATGGAATTCAATAAAAATTTAGGTGAATAGTCAACCTTAAGATAAAGAAGAACTGATTTGGCTTGAAGAATCTAAGGTTCTGCCCCTACCCACTGTTAGCTATATGCATTTGGACTCCATTATCTCAAACACCGATACCTCGAATACTGGGATACAACAAAGTTAGTTGCAGTCCCTGGTATGCAACCACTTTTTTTTTTTTTTTTAATTTTTACCCTTATTATCTCAAGTGTTGGTCCTGTCAAGTTTGAGACAATGAGGTTTGAATGTATGTCAAAAACCTGCACATTTATAATGATATTTGGAGGAAAATGTGCTTTAATTGTAGTAATGACAGATTTACGGTAACACCAATCAGAGGAAAAATAGAGATTCAGGATTTTTTTTAAAGTCATTAATCAATTTTTGCATCAGAAAAGACCAACTATGAGGTATAAAGTGATTAGATTATTTTCAAATATAATTTTCATTGGCTGAAAGGATATGATGTGATATTCCTCCTTTTCTGATATTGACATGAAAGTGTGTCCATGGAATATGATATTGCACAACTCACTGCTTCTATACTTTATGTAATAAGCAAAACTGGCCTTTGAGTGATTATATTATGGTCACTTCAGTGAATGGTCAGTATGTGGTTAAAAGGACCACTTTCTGTGTCCGAGGTCACTATTACTTGGCATAACCACATATATCAAACTATACTGAAGTCTATAATTGTATAATATCAAGTGACCATTATACAATATCATTAATAATTTAGAACTTTTGGAACCAAGTTTCAAGTTTTTATTTAAAACAAAGACCTCAACTGGGCTATATGAATACAAATGAACACAACAAAATAACATATAAGGAAGAATGCATGAAGGAATGTAAATACTATATATGTATATAAATGTCAGAAAATCAAAGTATGGAAGACCTCTGCAAGTATATAAAAAAAATATCTCCATCAAAGCTGAGTTATCCCCCTTCTGCCTTTTGTTATGTGTCATGATGTACGCAAGATGCTGAAAATCCTATCAGTAAGTAGTTATAGATGATGGATTTACTCCTCTTCACTATCATGACATAATGGTAAACTCTCAGTAACTTTAATATACATGTACTAAGATCTAACAATAAACATTTTCAGCATACATAACAGAAGTTCTGTTTTCAGTATTAAGCTCAGATTAACTGCTGAAATGATTGGATGAAAGTGAAAGAAAATTGCCCACTTGTAATCAGTTTCTTGTCAATTTCAGCTGATTAAATAAAACAAATTTAGTTGTTTAATAGAAAGAAACCACAGCACTGCCCAACTACTATCAGGTCCTAGGCAAAATATTTACTTTGGCACTTTCTGGGGTCTCTTACCTCCAAATGGAAATGATTTCAATCCCTGCATGGAGTTAAGTTCACAATATGTGACAAAAATCACAGAAATTCAAAATATTTATAAGGATATATTGTACAATGAAATTGCACCAGTACATTTACTCTCTAAGGATATGTCATCTTGAAACAAGTAATACTTTTGGATTTATGCATTTATGACATTTCAGTCTGACAATAAAACATTGATATTTGGTAAGTTATGGATAAGCAACAGAGAACTGCTCTACAGAAAAATCACATGATGATAGTTGAGGACCTTCTAGTGACGGACGACTTTCTAGGGCAGTGTTTTCAGGAGGATCTGTTTGACTTACATCTCATTGAAATCATAAAGGTATTTATCTATTACTTATCTATATCTTTTATCTCATCTTAAGGTTATATAATCATTTTCTGCAGCTCATTGTTATTATCAAGATACATGTAATGACATTATTTTCTTGAAATTATCAAGTTAATTATCTACTATCCTGCATCTCATTATATTCTGTATTAAGGGTCTAAGACAAATCATCAAAACATTTCATCAATGTGACAATTCATTGACATAATAAGTCTTCTGATGGATAACTCATGGATACATGAAAACTTGAATCTGCACTATTTGAGGATGCTCAAGTAGCGGAGATTCATGCCCCAGTAGTTCTTGAGAAAAAAATTCTTTCTATGCAAAATTTTATAATCCAAACTCAAATATCTTGATCTGCACTTCCCTAGGATACTTGCATATTAACATGATTAAATATAACCCTACTGTTCTTAAAAAGATTTTTAATAAAGGATTTCCTTTATATAATAAATTCCAATGTTATCTGTATGTCCCCTTTTACCCCAGGGGCCATGACTTGAACAAACATGAATCTGCACTACCTAGATGCTTGCTTATTATCTGCACTTGTATCTACACTACCAGAACCCCTGATCCAGGGGCCATAAAACTCAAAATTTTGGAAGAGGCACTCTTTCTCATCATAACTATGTACTTAGTTCATCTGAACTTAATACCCAGGAGCAGAGGAGAAGATTTTCAAAGAATTAATGCATTTTCACTGTATAATCATTAGAGCCCTGCCCAAACACCAGAACCCCTGACCCTGGGGCCATGAAATTCACAATTTTGGAAGAGGCACTCTTGCTCATCAGAACTATGTACTTAGTTCATCAGCTTAATAGTCAGGCAGAGGAGAAAATTTTTAAAGAAATGCATTTTAACTATATAATCGTTAGAGCCCAGCCCTAATGCCAGAACCCCAGACCCAGGGGCCATAAAATTCATAATTTTTGTAGAGTCACTCTTCCTCATCATAATTATGCACTAATTTCATTGGCTTTATACCTAGGAGCAGAGGAGAAGATTTTGAAGAATTAATGCATTTTTCACTGTATAATCATTAGAGCCCTGCCCTAACACCAGAGCCCCTGAGCCTGGGGCCATAATTTTGGAAGAGGCACTCTTCCTCATCATAACTATGTACTTCGTTCTTCGGCTTAATACCCAGGAGCAGAGGAGAAAATTTTTAAAGAATTAATGCATTTTCACTATATATTCAACAGAGCCCCGCCCTAGCACCAGAACTCCTGACCCTGGGGCCATAAATTTCACAATTTTGGTAGAGGGCTCAATGCTTATTACAATCATGCCAACAGTTTGAATACTTGATGTCCTGGAGTAAAGAAGAAGATTTTTAAAGATTGCATTAATTTTAGTAGTTTTGGCCCAACCTCTCAGGCCCCAAGGGGGGGGGGGGGGGTTTAGGGACCATGAAATTCATAATTTTTGTTCCCCTTTACCCATAGATGTTATATGCCAAAATTGGTTGAGCGGTTTCAGAGAAGAAGCTGAAAATGTTCAAATGTTAACGCACAACGCACTGCGACGGACGAAAACAGATAGCAACAGTCACTTGAGTAAATTCAGGTGACCAAAAAATATGAATAATCATAGTCTTGCTATTCTTTATATGAATTTTTAAAGATTTTCCCCCATACTTTCTTGTTAAATTTGTGGCCCCATCCTACCCCAGGAGGGCGTGACATGAAAAAAAATTGAACCTGCATTACCTGAAGACAGGGTTTCAGATTGCAATTTAGTAACTTAGGTTTATCACAAAAGTAATAGGCCATTGTGTCCTAACCTCCAAAAATTATAGGCCAACTATATTCAACAATATTTAGTTCTTCCACCTCATAATTACATGTATATAAATAACAAGAGGCCCAATGGCCTTAATGGTCACCTGAGTATAATACAACACTATAAAGGATCCACTGAAGTATAAATTGAAGCAAAAATAAACTGTTTACAGTTAGATGAATATATGCTTCCTTAAAGCAAGAGAAATAGGATGATCAATTAAATAATCTCGGACTAACAAATCATAAAGGAAATCTATTTACTTGCTTGTATAAGCTTTGTTTACAAATGACATATGACAGACAACACATGACAGATGCTGGACACCGTTGATCAGAAAAGCTCACTTGAGCCTTTGGCTCAGGTGAGCTTAAAACTGAGAAAATGTTCTGTAAACTAAGGAATATACTGAAAGATTTTAATGTGAGGTTGGGTACCTATAGCTTAATAGACCTTTTCCTGTCATTCAGTCACTAGCAGCTCTGGGTGTTGGAATGCTTAATTTATTTTCATCCCTCAGTGTCTGTACCAATCTGATCCTTTTTGAGTGGTCTTAAATCTGACAGAGTATGTCATCTTGTCACTATCCTACAAGTCAGCAGTAATACTCACAATTCCACAGAGCAAGGTTATAATGACCACAAATCTCAACAGAGTAAATATTTACAAAGTTAAAAAAATGTTTGAATCAGCTTGACATTTGACTCTCAATAGTCTCTAACTGTTGAAAGCATATCATTGAGAAAGTTAAAGCCAAGGATTTACACACATTTTTGTTTTGTCTAACAAATTCAGGGCAATTAAACAAGATCCAACTGCTGACAGGAATAAAAGGCTTTAACATAGTGTCGTAACTCTTGATAAAATTTGCTTTGGACCTTACGAGTGTATACCCCCACCAAGTGTACGATATCCAATCAGGTGGCCTGTCAAAATAGGCTCCTATAATCCAAAAAAGGGTGGACAAATTTCTCTGTACTAAGTCACCCAATAGATTACAACACAAGCTCACAATAAAATTATTGATCTTTTTTTTTCATTTTAGTCTTGAACATTTAAAGATTTCATAATCAACTCTCTCAAGATTTAACTGTCTTGTGCTAAAGTGTTATAATTAAATGTCTTGTGCTAAAGTGTTATAAATGTACTAGATAGTTAGAACATGATGTCATAATAACCAAATCATGACATAACTCATCATGGCAACCAATCACTGCTAGGATAGGGTCAAGTGTCAACTTCAAATCTATCTGCATTAAATGTCCGTACATATTTCTCAGCAAAATTTTCAACATATTTCTGAGAAGATACTTTTCCCCGAAATGCTAATGATAGTGGTCCTGCGTATGTAATCATACTTAAATCAATTCAACTTTGTTTATGTACTCTTGTAATTAATTATTCTCTTTCTCATCTACTTTTCAACTGAAATTTTTCATGTTTATAATTTAACGTTTGTGAAACACTGATGCCCCTGTACTGCAGATCGTTGTCTAGGTTAAAGTTTTTTAAAAGTAGGTCAAACTCCAAGTCAGGAGGTCAAAAATGGTGGTACCCAAAGAAAGGTCTTATAATTGTCACAAGGAATACATGAGAAATATGAAAGACCAAGCACAAACCATTTAGAAGTTATGACTAAGGTTTAAGTTTTTCAAACATATGTCAAACTCCAAGGTCAAGGTAATGAGGCAGAAAAAGATGATATCCAAAGAAAGGTCTTGTCACAAGGTACTGTATACACATGTGAATAGGAAAACCATATAGCACCAATCTTTCAATGAAAGAACCAACTGATTAAAAGAAGTGACCATGGTTAAAGCTTTTGCAGGCAGACAAAAAACAATATGCCCTCCAATCTACAATTGCAGGGGCATAAAAATCATGAACAACATACGAACTGCTATTGTACAATGGCCCACTCTTGAGCTAAAAGTTAATTTATACAATTCCCCTTGGTTTTTGTGTTCTACTTTTTGTGCAAATTGAAATTGAAAAAGCACAAGCTAGCTGCAGAATTGTAGCATTATGGTTTTATATTTTAGTCTTTGACCATAATGCTACAGATCCCGTAATGAAAATAAAGTGCAATTTATGACACAAGATTTTCTGCACACTTTGGGGATGTACATATTTTGCCACTTTCCAGCATTGGTCAATCTACGACCTTTCATCCCCTAATTCTAGACATATTCTATAAACAACCTGTATATTTTATCCACCTCCTAACCCTTTATAGTCATCTCTGCAGACCAAATAACTTGCTTGTCATGAAATTTGTTGTTGGATGGCATGAGTTTATTGGTCTGTAGAGATGACAATAAAGGGTTAGGAGGTGGATAAAATATACAGGTTGTTTATAGAATATGTCTAAAATTAGGGAATGAAAGGTCATTGATTGACCAATGCTGGAAAGTGGCGAAATACATCCCCAAAGTGTGCAGAAAATCTTGCGCCATAAATTGCACTTTATTTACATAACAGGATCTGTAGCATTATGGTCAAAGACTAAAATATAAAACCATAATGCTACATTTCTGCAGCTAAGAAAGCACATATATACAATTATCTTTTAATGTGTCAATAAAATGACAAACACTTATATCCTCCGAGTGTATGTTAAGTATAGCAAGTTTGGAGGCAATTTTAATATCCATTGCTACTGATGCATTATCTATGACACTGGGTTCAAGTAAGGTCTCTAGATCTGTCATGAGTAAGGATCTGGGCCCAATAAACAAAGGCAGAAGCATTTCTGAATATGCTGATTAATATAAAGATATTTATATTTAAGGGACACTTAGCTATATGTTAAATTTTGATTTAGTGGAAGCAGCTTTCCACCAAAGGTGTTAAATAGAATACACAGTCAAATGTAATATGTTTACTGTATGTTACAGTTACTGTATTTTAAACCATCAGAACTTAGTAATTAAGAGCTACCCGTATCCATTCATTTGTAATCAAAATAACATTGGTCCATTTTTATGACAGCTATAGGATAAAAAAAGTGTACCCGTTTAATCATTCTATTTTTAGAATATTGCACAACAACCAAAATTCTGTTCAGTAAACTAAAAACACAACAACCAAAATTCCATTCAGTAAACTTAAAATGTAAATAAAAATGGACCAACACAAGTGTACTTTGCCTTGCATTGAAGACTTTGAGTAATTGATGTTGACCTAGTTGACATACCTGTCTGAATATTGAGCTCTAACTGTGAGTAATTTGTTAAAGTGACAAATTCTATTCACTCTCTGAGCATTTATATTTGATAAGCTGATTTGAGGCCCATTATTTGTCGAACTTAGTTTGTTTTTCTTCAGTGCTGCATAGTATGAAGTGTCACTTAAAAGAGAGCATGAAGAATTATAGTCATGTTTCACAGCATTACAAGTTCCATGTTACATGTAGCTATGGTGACCACACATCTTGTTTTGAAATCGAAGAAGATTACACAAAATAACCTTTTATTACTATCTAAAGTACTTTGTTACTATCTTTACTTTGTAGTTTTGTTGTTATACCCTTATATATATTACATTGTACATAACAGAAGTCCAATACTGAAATCATATGTAGACAGGAGCTGCATGTTCAAGATATTACCAGCTACCATCATAAAAATTATTTTTGTTAATTTCCAGCATTATCAAAGTATTCTATGTGAATACACAGTTGTACTTTCATTAATAAAGATGGCATCCCAATATGTCTACACTTGGGCAAGTTGAGGGTAACACAGAACAGATTATTAAATGAGATTTCCAAGCCTTTGGGCAGTTTTTTTTTGTCTTCAGGTCCAACAAATCAAAGGTCATCCTCATACTCTGAGTCAATAACTGTGTGTTATTAAAACCTTGAATGAGGGAAATTAGAAAGGCTATTTAATGTATTGATCAAAATGTTTAACAAAACTGAATTTCACTTAAAAAAAGAAAAAGAAAGAAAAAATCTTGCACCTCTTTAACATTAATGTGTAAAATTTCTAAGTCCCTATTATGCTCCGTCACTTAGTCATTTTATGACATTAAATTTCTCACTTATAAATGCATAACACTCATTCCTATTTTACTTATAACCACTTATAAGTAAAGTATAAGTGAAATATGCCATTTGACTTATACTTATGTCCACTTTATACTTCACTTATTTCATAAACTGTAAAACTTATAAGTGGCTTATAAGTCAGTAAGTGACATATACTTGGGTTATAAGTTGTTATAAGAAATTTCTGTAAGGGTATAAGTTCAATGTAAACTCTGGTTAGTACAGAGTCAAATCTCTCTAAACAAAAATTATGTGTCCAGGTTAGTATATATGTATAACACATTGCATTTTTAGGCCTATTCCTGGGCAAATCACTGAAATCTATCTTAGATTATATTTTCAATAATCCTCCAGTCAACGCTGCTACATAGAGAGACAAAACAACAACCTGGATACTGATACATGTAAAACAAATTACCTCTTTCTCACTTCCAGACTGAACGTACAAATCAACAAAAAGTCCACAAGCTACTTGAGCTGCTACCACATCGAGGTCCCGAGGCTTTCGATAAGTTTGTCAGCATCATAGAGCTGAGATACCCCTGGCTGTCCATGTCACTGGAGAATGGACTGAGTCAGGAGAGACAGAAACACCAAGAGAACCGCTGGTCCAGCAGAATCGACCAGCTCCCCAGGCTGGGACTAGAGAGACTGGGTAGGTATCTGATCAATTATAGATTAGAAAGTAACTGCTGGTCCAGCAGAATCCACCAGCTCCTCAGGCTGGGACTAGAGAGACTGGGTAGGTATCTAATCAATGGGTCAGACAGAAACACCAGGAGAACCACTGGTCCAGCAGAATTTACCAGCTCCCCAGGCTGGGGCTAGAGAGACTGGATAGGTATCTAATCAAAGAGTCAGACAGATACACCAAGAGAAGAACCACTGGTCCAGCAGAATTACCCAGCTCCCAGAATGGGACTAGAGAGACTGGGTAGGTATCTAATCAATGGGTCAGAAGAAACACAAAGAGAACCCGCTGGTCCAGCAGAATTGACCAGCTCCCCAGGCTGGGGCTAAAGAGGCTGGGTAGGTATCTAATCAAAAGGTCAGACAGAAACACCAGGAGAACTGTTGGTCAAGCAGAAATGACCAGCTCCCAAGGCTTGGACGTACGTACTATAGAGACCGGGTAGGTATCTAATCAAAGGGTCAGACAGAAACACCAGGAGAACCGCTGGTCAAGCAGAACTGACCAGCTCCCCAGGCTGGGGCTAAAGAGGCTGGGTAGGTATCTAATCAAAAGGTCAGACAGAAACACCAGGAGAACCACTGGTCAAGTAGAACTGACCAGCTCCCCAGGCTGGGGCTAGAGGGACTGGGTAGGTATTAAATCAAAGGGTCAGATAGAAACACCAGGAGAACCGCTGGTCAAGCAGAATTGACCAACTCCCCAGGCTGGGACTAGAGAGTTAAAACAGAGGCTTCATAATATCAATGCAATATAAGATCAAATATAGTTACATAAAGTGCACAAGCACTGGGCTGAACCAAACAATTAACTAGTTTGGTAGTTATCTCTATAGTAAAAGATTTAGGCATATCAATTAAATACTCCATGAACTTTTATGAAAATCCACATTGCCAAAAAGATTTACATTATGTAATCCCTGTCCTGTTTTAGGATCTCCATCAAGGTATCAATCCTACAAAATCTCCAGCCAAAGAGAACTGTGTTCTGCTGCTGATGTTTCTGAACGAATTGAAAACTTTACACAGAGGAGCTTTGGACTACACAGAAAGCTGTCTCAATCTGATAAAAGGGCTGTTGAACAATTCCTATTGGAACAAATCAAGCTTGAGGTGAAAAAACAAAATGAGGTTCATTCTAAATCTAATGACAAAATTCCTCCACCTATAAAACAATGGTTACTTAACACCCACATCAAATTCAAAGTTCACATAGACTGTCTTCCAGAAGAGTCAATCTCCAAGGAGGAACTTCACACTTCGTACTCAATTACTTTTGAAATTGTTGAAAAACAGATAGAGACTTTGCTGAATCGCATCCAACATCTAGAAGAACAGATGACCAATCTTTATGATGTTCTCGGGGAGACTTCTCGGAAAAAGAGCCCCGCTTTACTTGTTGAAAATATTTTGCATAAATGTCAGGATATTGAGGTCAAACTTGAGAGGAAACAAAAAGAAATTGATGACATGAGCAATGAAAATTATGAGTTGACAATGGCTAAGAAAAAGTTAGCCCATGAACTGCAACTTAAAGATGTTCAGTTAGAAGTGAAATCCAACCAGATAAGCAAACTTCAGCAAGAAAATAAGTCCTTAAAAATGGAGATAGAAAAACTCAAAAAAGTTAGTACCACACAATCTGAGAAGGAGAAGACACTCACTGAGTTACAACATATCGTCAATGACTTGAGACAATCTCGAGATCAGGTACGAGATGAAAATACAGAGCTCAAATACAGACTTGAACAACAACGTGCTCGCTTTCTATCTCCAAGGAGACAGACATCTTATTCCAAAAACTCTAACAGCAAATCTCTAAGAGCAAAAGCTGCAAACAAAAAGAGACTCAACAACAGATGATTTTAACAGATTTTTAAAAAAAAATAATTTATGCAATGTTTAAGATTTCAATTTGGATATTTCAGATGTAAATAAATTATCAATGAACTCTTATTGTTACATGTTCCTCAGAGAGAGAGAGAGAGGAATTGATTACAATTCAATTAAGAAATGAATTTAATTTTTGAAGATTCATGAGGACATGAACTATGACGCTTCATGCTGGCATATTTCATGAAGTGCATTAGTGGTTCATGATAAATATGCCGGTGTAAAGACGAATAATGACCCCCGTAGAATTATGACCGGGGGTAATTTTTCGATGTCGAAAAATGACTCCCGGTCATTATTCGACGTAGAAAAATGACCCCCGGTCATTATTCGACACAGAAAAATGACCTTTTCGCCCGTAGAAAAAGTGGCATCACCCTTAAAATCTGCATACCCTACGTGAAGAAAAATGACCCCCGTAGAATAATGACCCCTGGCAGATTTGATCAGAAACATATTTTTTTGGATTAAAAAAAATAAAAAAATAATGAATCAAGAGGGTCATGGATCAAAATGCTCACATGAGGTAAATTGAAGATATAGCGATGATCTGTTGTTCTCATTTAATCTTTCAAATGTCTTTTATGGTGAATTGACAATGTACATGTACCTTATGTGGAAATGCTTTCATTCTGATTGACTTATGTATCATTGTTTAAAAAAAAACAAACTTTTTTTTATTTTCGCTTATACTATCCAGTCCAGAGAGAGAGAGAGAGAGAGAGAGAGAGAGAGAGAGAGAGAGAGATGTTCACAATGTCTATCTACCGGTTTATTTATTAAGTAGCGTCCGAATGCCTCTTTAAGCCAATGATTTAAATAGTGTACATACATGTAATTTTCGGACATGTAGCAAAAGTGCCTTACAATTTTTAAAATAAGAAGATTTACTTTTTTAGAGACTTCTAAAGTAACCGTCATCACAGTAGCTCAGTCGGTAAAGCGCTCGCCGTGAGTTCGAATCTCGGCCGCGACTGACCTGAGTCGATAAAAAATAGGTAGCAACTGTTCTTTCACCAGGCGCTCAGCACATTGAAGTGAAAGTTGCGGGTCCTTTGGATGAGACCTTAAAAACCGAGGCCCCGTGTCACGGCAGGCGTTAGCACGATAAAGATTCCTCACTGCTCAATGGCCCTGAGTAACGAGTAAAGGTCTAAATTTGAAGCCCTTCACCGGTATAAGGTGACGTCTCTATATGAGCGAAAAATTCTCGAATCGGACGTAAAACAACATACTATCAATCAATCTAAAGTCAACCCGTTTGTTAATTGGCCATAAACGTCTATAATCAGTAAAATATCGAAATATGAAACAAATGATAAAAAGGATCAAGACTAGAATGTATGCTATTGCAAGCAATAGTATGAGGGACCGTTTGGTATTTACCACCATTAAGTGATATCACCTATTCGAATGTGTGATATCACCTTTTTAGCTTTTGAATTTGTGATATCCCCTTCTTGAATAGGTGATACCACCTATTCAAATTAAGTATGAAATAACAACTGCTCCCAAGACTAAAGTGCATTCATTTACTCTATACAGGAATTTCAGTCTCTTTTCACTTAGATAATTGTAAGTTTGTAACAGAGAGAAAGTAATAAATATAGCAAAAGCTGACTGCAAGTGAAATTTATATAACTTCACAGGAATTGAAAACAAATGGCGTTTTAAATGCCTTGGACTATAACGCAGGGGAAAAGGGCAGCCCGAATTTGCTTATGGTCAATACAAATCTAGTTTTTCATATGCAAACATGTTATTTTATGGTCTTTTTTTTTTTTTTTACATACATTGTAACTTAAAAACAGTGTTCCCTCTCCTCTTTGTGCCAAATAAATGATCTTACAGAGAATCTACAGTTTATTTGATCAATGCAATGCCGGCATACTAGAGGGTGTTTCTCAAATTAAGTGCAGTAAGTCCATAGAAACTTTATTATCTTTTTGTAAAAGTTTGTGCAAGAGCAATGAAATCAATTTCATCAATTTTGAATCACTGCTTAGGAAATAAAACTGCTCTTTGAAGGCGTTTTGAATGTTCATCCTTTACTTTGCATTGAAGCTAGATTGTCTTGTTTTTCGCATTCGTTTTTAATGTTATAATAAACTCAAATAGGTCATATAACTAATTCAAATTCGTGATATAACCAATTCAAAACAAGAAGGTGATATCACCAATTCGAATAGGTGATATCACCTATTTGAATAAGTGATATTACCTATTCAACTCAAAAAGATGATATCACTTATTCCAACAGTGATATCACCTATTCATTTCCAATAAGTGATATCACCAATTCAAAAAGTGATATCACCTATTCGATTAAGTGATATAACCTATTCGAATAGATGATATAACCTATTCCATTTGAATGAGTGATATCACCTTTTCAAACAGGTGATATCACTTATTCGAATAGGTGATATTACTAAATGGCAATAAATACCAATGCTGTGCCTCATACAATAGAAATACACAATGATCCATAAATGATCCTGTAACGAAAGTTTTGTACCTCTGCGAGTTAATTCACTCACTCGTTGTGAGAAAAGGTTTGTCCAGTCGTTTCGACGGCAATGGAAACAGTTTTAAAAATCTTACATGTAAATGTAAACGCATTTGTAAGGTTTCACAAAGATTTAACAAGCCAACCATGAAAATATTAGTTGACAATTTTTCCCCATGACAACGGTGGTCAGTTTTAAAAATCAAAATGTTTAATGAAAACATCTACAGTAACTGTTGATGATCGTCATTTCTGAAACGTTTCATTACGTTTATCAAAGTCATGTCCGAGAAAATGTTCAGACAAAATAATAGGTCTGGCGATAACAATATAACTTCCTGACTTTCCTTTTAACAATAGCCACTGTGACGTATCTGTTGTGCAATTTTAATTTTGGGCTAACACAATAGATCTAATAGAAAGAAACATATGCAATGTTTTTAAACAAATTTTAATTGCTTGTTCGTCTAGTATTACATGTAATCGGATAAAGAGAATCCAAACCTTGGCATCAATCATCTCTTTTGAACTTTGTATCATTCTGTTCCGATGGGGGTCATTTTTCAACGGGGGTCAATTTCTTATAGGTTGCACATATAAAACACTGACCCCTAGGGTTCTTTTTCTACAAAAAATTAAATTTTTCTACGGCTAGGGAGTCATTTTTCGATGACCCCCAGTCATTATTCTACGGGGGACATTATTCGTCTTTACACCGGCATGAAGTGTTGTAGTTCATGTACCTCATGAATTTTCAAAAATTAAATTCATTTTTTCTATTTACATTATTTTTCTGATGAGTTGCCACAAATTACGCCATTCAACTGTCATTTTTAAAGCAAAAATCAGTTCGCACTATAGTTTTGACGTCAAGTGGGGTATTATGACGTAACAATGGAGATATTCATGCTCATCCATGGTAGTTCATGAGAAAATGAACTGTTTTCTATTTTGTAAAGAACATAGGGGAAATTTATTGGAAATGTAAATATTAAAAAATGTCTTTCCTTTAAGCTTATAAAACAAGATAAGTATAAACATGTGATGAATTCCAAAACCAAAGAGTTCATTTTAATACTTGTTCATGAAGCTTTCATCAAGGTTCAGCATTGCCAAATAATGTCTTTTACATTAATATTTACTTCAGCAGTTGTGATAGAGAAACAGACAAAAAGAAAGACACACTCGTCAGATAAAAAACATCACAAGGAAGTTTAAATTCTTGGGCCCATTTTACAAAAGAACTTACAATTAAGACCAAAAAATTAAGTTGATTGTAAAATTTTGTAAAATTGATGATTCGATCTGTTTGAAATTGCTAGCATAAAAATATACTATTAGGTTCTTTTTAAAAAGATTAAAACCAATTTCAAATAAATGTAAAATAGGAAGTTATAAGCAGAATTGAATTTTGGTCTTAGTCATAAGTTCTTTTGTAAAATGGGCCCCTACACTTTCATTTTAGGACCTCATTTTTACAGAAGTCAGAAAAAGGCTTTTCTATGTATTTTGAGGACACACTAGGATACAAATAGAACAGGCTTCACAAAATTTTTAAAATAATATTTAATTCACCCCTGAAATGCTACTGTAACATTGCAATCAGATAAGATACTCCTTTAAAAGTGAGTCACCTAATTATCTGCTTAGTCACTGTGTTACTGCTATTTCTGTGTACTTCTGTCCAAAGATTGCCAAGTCATAATCAAAGTCTGTCACATGGTTCAATCCATGAAAGGGGACTGCAACATTTAGTCTTTACAGAGAACCATAAATTAGCATATTCAGCAAGCTTTTCTGCTATATTTTTCTTCCAAACAATACTTAACTAATAATTTGAATCCAGACTGAAGATCACTAGGTTATTTCATGAGCCATTGGTACCATAGTTATGTTACAATTCAGCATTAACTAGATGCCAAGCAGAAGTCATGAGATCACCTTCAAGATTTGTATCTCTATTTTATATTACAAAACTGCAACCATTACAGAAAAAAAATCCATAAAATGGGAACCACATATACATCTATCACAATAAAGTAGCAATTAAGCTTAAGACTATGCTATTCACCAGTCTATCACAATAGTGCAAGTTTGTTTCTGTATATTGATACATTAGGTATACATGAAAATGATTGGTATCCAAATCAATTTCATAGATTTAGTTGAAAAACAAGATGTGTTTTTTGAAATACTGGTACGTGTCCCCATTTAGCAGCTCTTGGCTAAAGCTCTTGTTTTTCAAGTGTAAGTGAACCTCAAAAACCAAGGTCATGAGGTCAAAAATGTTTGTACCCAAAGAAAGGTTTGACATGTATCACATGGAATACATGTGTGAAATACTAAACCCCTAGCACCAAGTGTTCAAAAGTTATGGGAATGGTTTAATTTTTAAAAGAAGGTGAAACATGAAGGTCAAGGTCATCAATGTTGGTGCCAAAATAAAGTACTTGTCACAAGGAATACACATGTGAAATGTGAAAGCCACAACACCAATTTTCAAAAGTTATGGGCAAGGTTAAAGTTTTTCAAAAGTAGATGAAACTTGAAAGTCAATGTTGGTATACCCAAACAAATGACTTTACTTAAATAGCATAAACAATTTAGAAGTTATGGGCAAGGCTAAAGCTGGTTAAACCTTTTCAAAAATTAGTCAATTTTGAAGATCAAGGTCACGGGGTGAAAAAATATTAGTACCCAAAGAAAGGTACTATGCTGTCACAAGGAATACACTTGTGAAAAAGAGAAAGCTCTATCACCAATGATTCACAAGTTATGGCCAAGGTTAAAGTTTTTAAGGACAAACAAAAGACAAACAGACGGACCTATTTGCTCCTGAACCTCCATTAATGGGGGATGAGGTGGGCGGGCATGAAAACAGCAATGTGAATATATCCTATACATTAAAGGGTCAAATGTTTAAACATCAAACTCAAATACAAACTAAGTTAGGGATACAAGACCTCCTTTCCTCTGTTTGTTATCTTCACCTATTCCAAGTCTTATTCTAGCATAATGAGCAACCTATTGATTCAAGGATCAAAAGGTCAAAGAAAGGTGTTGTTGCATGTCTTACATTCATACAGTCATACCACAGGAATGGACAGTTCCAGAGGAAGAGGCTATTTGTGTCATGGACAAAAGTCAGAGGTCAAGGACAGTGATTAGTATTTGTAATGTTGTGAACACATATCAATTCTTAGTATGAGACACTGTATTCTTTGAATGAAATGATGTTGAAACAGGATATTTTGCTTTGTCGTACCTTTGTTATCGCTGTCAACACAATCACATACAGTGTACAGCACTCTAACATTAAAGAGCCATGACCATCTTTTTTTTTTTTTTTTTTTTTTTAAAGAAAATCAATATATCTATACACGTGCCTAATTAATATTTTTGATATCACGTGGCTATTAAATTACAAATGGCAATTGTATCAGTCTACTTCACTGAGCTGATAATCTGATTAACATAGATTCAGAACTTTAAAAGTCTAAGCAAAGTGTTAAATCTGTAGAATTCAATCCATAGAAGTAATTATCAGCACGCTGTATTGAGGTACAACCTGGGAGGTGGAATTTGAGTAATTTATCATATTTCAATAAATGCATTAGAAATTATATACATAATGAAGAAAAGCTCACACTATATCTTCAAATCACAGCACACATTTACATTAAGTAAGAATTTCTATTTTTCAGTTCCTGTCTGCTCTCAAGATACAGTATCTTTTTTTTACCCTTGGTGAACCTTACACTTGACTTTAACTAATACACTGGTCAATAACAGACAGAGATGAACAATATCTTGAAAGGTAAGGAGTCAAAAATAACAAAATTCATGTGTGTATGATTACAAACATACTGTAAAGAATCACAAATTTTAATAATTACTAATTTACCACAGTTAATTCAAAAGATCATAATCTTCCTCCTTCACAATATTCAAATGGAAATCCAAAAAGCTTTTTAATCTGTAAAATGAACATGCATTGATCTGTACAAGTTAAATTAACCTTGACTTGAAAAAATCTCCTTTCGTTCATCTGCATTGCTTTCTGTATTTTCATCCAAAATTACAAGCGATAGTACTTTTTATTACTCTAGAAAATGAACAAAGTATAACTACTTTAAAATACCTGCATCTATTGTCAGGATCCAAGAAACAAATTCAGAAAGCTATAAGCTATGAATGTTACTATGCCATAAAATTTAACTAAATAAAACATCCAACATATCAGACCCATGATATCCATCTAATGAAATAACTTAGTTTTTTGTTGTGATGTATTAAATTGCTTCCACTTCTTGATATGTAAAAAGGTAGGCTGTATATTGAATAAGAAACAGAAATATTCATTACCTTATATATCAAACACCTGAGATAATGCTGGCTCTACAATTTTAAATTGATTTTAAGTGATCCTACAAGGAAGTGAAAATTGAAATCCAACACAATAATATATACTGCTACAGAGGTCCATATATACATGAATTCAATCTTGTGTTCTTTAAGACATTCAATCACTGCTACACTGAATATAAAGAATAAGCAGCCCCAATGCTGCTGCCAGAAATGGACCCCAGAGAGAAAGCAACCTTGAAGAACTGTCTGAACTGCTTTCTAGAAGACCTTGACCCAACCTTGACCTTTCTGTCACAACTGGTCTGCTCAGGGATAATTACTGAGGACCAAAAGGACAGAATTGAGGTGAGGTGATACCAAAGAAATATTTGTCTAAAGATTCCACCAGTAACATTGAAAAAATATCAGATTTTGCAAGGAAAATCAATTACACATACTGAGGAATGATCATTAGATCTAGTTATACATAAGAAAAGTCATTTATAGAATTGTTTTAAACATGATAATTTTTGGTTTCCTTGTAGAAGCAAACCACTAGACAAGACAAGGTGATCACCCTTCTGGAGATTTTACCTCGGAGGGGACCCAGAGCTTTCAAGAAGTTTGTCGGCCTACTGAGAATAGATTACTCCTGGATCAGTGAGAAACTAGAGCAGGAATACCAAGTACAGGACTGTAAGTCTACAGAATAAACAGGGGAACAAATGGTCTTCCTGTTCTCTTTCTTGATTCATGTCATAGGTGACACCATCAGGAAAATTTACAATAATTACTGCTTCATGAAACACTTTAATGAAAGTAAAACAAAGGACATGGTATGGTAAAGGCTTAATTTTGCTCCTTATTTGATATAAAAATTGAAACAAAGTTAAAATTGTGACAGTTTGCAATCAAGAACTTTAAATGATGCTTGTTTTATAACAGCATTGGTTTTGTTTCAAAGTGTACACAAAGGCCACAAGGTGACAAAGATGAACATTTTACCAAATTTCCTTGACTCTGATGGAATTATGTTAAATCTGAGATAATTTTTACCTCTGAAAACATAGAACACAAGCTTGCCTATCTGAGATTTTCATACACAAGATGTATCTCATAACAGTGCATGAAATATAAATTCGGTAGCTGGGCAAACTGTGCTCTATGTTTTCTGAAACAAAATGTGTTTTAAAACTAATGAAAATTTGAATGAGAAAATTCCGAAATTGTCCAATTTTGTGAACTCTGTGACCTTTGTGTATGCTATCACTTAGAATCAATACTCATGTCATAACAAGGATGACAAAAGATTTTTTATTTTGAAGTATTGCATCATTCTAAGAGACACCCCAAACCAGGGGCCACAAGGGGGGGCTCAGGCAATCTTGTTTAGTACATGTATCATATTTGAGAAACATTACTCTAGGATGATGGTTTTATTCTACCTTCAACCTCTCTGACTTTTACCTTCAAAATATCAAAACCTACATTTCTAAAGTTTAAACAGTTTTGGCTAAAAAGAAATGCTGGACAGATTACCTGGTATGTGTTTTCAATCTCAAAGTCTGTGGCAAAAGACATTTCTCAACTATTCTGTAAGCAATATGCTTTTGCTGCTATTTTATTTAATGAAATACTTTTATCTTATGAAATACTTATAAACCAAGTATATATTACAGTTACCAAAAGGATAGAAAATGCACTTGAGCAGAGAACCAAGAAAATGGGAGAGCTTATCAAGGACCGTGACTACATCAACCGTGTGATTACAGAAACAGTGGTCCCTCTGATGATAGAGGAATGTGGTTCCAGTAGCTCTGGTGGTGCAGTAGGCCCAGGCTTTGATGCACCACTAAAAGACATCATAACTGATCACCTAATACCACTTCTGAATGGTAACAATGGTCTTAAGACACACTTAGACTCCATGCATAGTGGCATGTTGCTTGATAAAGTAGTGGACATCATTCAGGAGTTGAAAGAAAAGTGTTGTAAAATGCTGAGTTTGAGTGATGTCACAGAGTTTCACTCCTCTTTGCCAATTTTAATTGACACACGGCTTCAAGAACTGAGGGACAATATAACCTCAATGAAAAAAGAAAACAAAAAGATGAAGAAAATAGAAGAAAAATTGACTGCTGAAAACCAGAAACTTAAAAATGACTTGACAATTCAGAGAGCTGAAGTTAAGAAAGGAAAGACTGATGTTATAAAACAAAATGCAGAGATCAAAAAATTAAAAGACCAAGTGCAAAAATCCAAATCTGAGAGTGATAAACTGAAACAGGAACTGGCAAACCTTAGGGAACAGATGAGCAAAGCTGGAATGGATCTCCAAATATCATCAGATTTCACCTAATTATTATTTGCCATTTAATTTCTTAAGAATCTCATGCAGTGCTCCAAGTCACACTTACTATCAGATCACTAAATGGCGACCTAAATAAATTTTTGGTCACCATTTCAGAACTCATAATCGCCATCAAAAATATTTCACTCACAATGGTCAAAACATTTTGTGCATAACACATTTAGTATATTATAAAAGCAAAGAACAAACACTCATATATGTATGTCTTTTTTATATCAAAGATAACTTATTACTGTCACAGTGACTAACTAATTTGCTTGACTGAAGGAACCACTTGTGAAATATTGTTATTATATACAACCACACCAACAGTTACACAGGTGATCTGATCCTAAAATTAAAATTAAATCCAAAGAAATTGCTACAAGTTTGACTGATGTGTGCATAAGGTGGAAACTATTGAAATAGGACTTTTCCAGCTGTTTGTCATGTTTACTTTCAAACCACGAGTTGCTGTTTATACCGCCAAAACTCTTATTCGCAATGCGATATGCAAGTAATTGACCAAATGCTTCATTAATAAGGTTGGATTCTAAAATGTCTATGACTAATGGCCATTATATGTATGTATGTATATATGTATGTATATATGTCCCTGCCCCTAGTTCTATCAGCATGCTGTCATAATGTGTTATCTAACTCTTTGTGACACTTGTCAAAGTTTTCAGAATGTCTTCAATCATTTTCTTAATAGAGAATCTTGGTAAAAATAAATCTCGATCATAAAAATGGACAATCGCCAGCCTAAATTTTCTCGATCACAAAAATGTGAGTTTCTAGCCACAAAATTATTTTTGTTACTTGCAACTTGGAGCACTGTTATGTTTTCAAAAAATTTAAAATAAATATTTACATGATATTTATGGTGAATATATTTTAGTTTATCTCTGACTGCTGGTGTATGTTTTAAGTACTTAGTTTCAAACTCTGGTAAATCTGTATGCCTTTAGGCTATATATAGAGAACAAAGTGCATTTCTTTTCAATGACTTCTCACACATACACATGTATACACACACACCCACACACACACACACAGAGAGAGAGAGAGAGAGAGAGAGAGAGAGAGAGAGGGAGAGAGAGATTTAAAATTAAACAAAATGAATACAGAGTATGTACTTTTAACTACTACTTTGAAACGTCTAAATTTGTTAGTAGTATCTTGGCTCTCTTAATTGTGGCCCATAAAGGTATTCATGATCTTACAATAAAAAAATTTCACATGCATGAATTAAATTTCTAGTTTTACCATTGCAAATTAATTACCTATGTTGCAATTTCTTTTAAACTGCATAGCACAAAACAATATTTTGCAATTATCAAATAGAACTGCGAATTCAAACCCATCTGAACCAAGTCCCGCAGTGTGCATTCCTTAAATACAACATCCAAGTATGACTGGACCAGGTAAGGATTAGCTACTTGTAAATGGACCTGCTTCAAAAACTTCAAACCTGTTCTATCACCTAGAAAATGTAGGTCAGATGCAGCATCAGAAGCATTTCTGGTAGTGTGTATCCCTACATGCAATGTTCATGCAAGTTTGGTCCAGGCAGGCTTGTAGTTACTTTAAATGGACCTACTTCAAAAGCCTGTTCAATCATCCAGAAAATGTAGGTCAGATCCAGCATCTGATGCCAGTCTGATAGTGTGTCTCTCTAGATGTAACATCCATGCAAGTTTGGTCACCATAAGGCTTAAGTTTATTTGGAAATAGACTTCCTCCAAAAACATTCTGTGCCCAAAAAGAGGAACTCAAATAAGTGCCCTGTCTTTCCATTTTTATTAATGAATGCTTTAAAAAGTACACGTAAATGATTCTTTCATTTACGAGGGGTGATCAAAAAGTTCGCGAACTATCTCTATATTTGAAAAACCACAATTCAGATCAGAATGAAATTTGGCACACATATAGTCATACACATGTTCTATAAATAGCAGATGTTAAATAATATTTTGCTCCGTGTTTGTGACGTCATAATGTGAAAATGATGTCAGTATGTAGGTCACTTGTGACAGAAGAATGGTGGACTCAGTCGCACTCGAGCAATGAATGGCTGTAAAGTTTAACGTACATCTCGGAAATTCCTTTGCAGTAGAATATGATAATTTGTACAAGGTTTATGAAGGTAAAAGACTTACCAGAAGTTCAATTATTAACTGGATTGAATGTTTTACTGAAGGCAGGGGGATGGTTAAAAATGATGTTTGTTCTGTTGCCCAGCGAAAGCAAGCCGGTAAAAAGATGTGTCCTTAGTTAAGCAATTTTTTTGGAAAGATCACCAAATTACAATAAGAAAAATAGTTGAATATCTGGGCAATAATATAATTATTAAATCCCTAAAATATCGTTTACTTTAGACTTTAAACATATGAGATATGAAAAAATGAAGGCGCCCATATTTTTTCCAATTGGAATAAACGACGCTCCCGAGACAGAGGACTTGGGTTGTGATGGTCACCATGCTAATTCTGGGAAGGGACATCCTTATTCACCCATCCTATTGCCAAGATTTGGCCATTTCTGACAGATGGTCTGTTCTTGTTATAAAAATTTATTTGCATGGTAAGAAATATGACTTGGAAAAATCTCTTAGCTTCCGTGAACAGACCGCTACGAAGCATGTCACGTGACTGCCTGGATCACGTGATTCGCGCATGGGCAGAACAATGGCAGATGTGCATTGAAATCGGAGAGGACTATTTTAAAAAATAATGAATACTAAAACCTCATTTTATTTCTTTTAAAGAAGTAATTCAATTAGTTCGTGAACTTTTTGATCACCCCTCGTAAACTAGCATTTTTTCATGTTTAATTTATGCAAGAGGAGACCATTTAATTTATTCACAGTTGCAAAGTTACAATTAATTCACACAAATCGCATAAAGTTTTCATTGAAAGGCATTGGGATACTTAGTATAACTACAGGCAGGAAATGTGTTCATACTGAACTCAGATGTCACTTTAAATTTCTTTAAACTAGATTACATCAGAAATTAAAATAAAACATTACATTGTATTTCCCAAATCTTTCAAAGCAAGTTTATAAACAGTCCCTGCATGATACACAATCATGATGATGAAGCAATTTACTGATCAGATAAACATTTTATCAAGTAATTTGGGTTAATTTGTTTGAATGAGCATGTACTTGTTCTATAATATGTTGCAACACAAAATTCTCTTGACCTCTTAATTAAATTTGCATAATGATCTCTTATTGGCCATACTAAATACAGGGATTATCCTAGTCTGAACTCCAGTAAAAAGGGTTAGAACATGTAGAATGGGAATTATATCCTTTGCATTGTCCAGGTACCAAAAATTACTGGGTCTATAATCGAATTAGCATTCAACCACCATATAAACTAACTCAACACCAAGGAAAATATCAGGTGAGTTATTTGCATACTTTTATACAATTTTGTGAATGTTTAAATGCTAATTAGTCTGATCTTTAATATACTGCACTCTCCAAAGCTTGCACTAAGACTGTAAGTTTTCAATATTAAAACAATCTACCAGATTAAGTGATTTAAAGAGTCAACTCTCATTTACGTCATAAACCTGTGAGAAACTTGTTTTAAACTCCTAGCATTTAGTTTTCAACAAATGAATAATCAACATATGAAACCCTAGGTTCCACATCTGACATAAACAAGACCTTTTTTCTGATTGCTGGATTAAAATTTTTTAGGAAAATGTAAAACAAGAGGACTTGTGACAAATTCAAAATGGAGAAGGAACAAATTCTGGCAGTGGACGCAATGATGAGGGAGATTATGAACATAGGATGGACGTCCAGCCAAGTGATCAGACACCTGTCTCAGAGCGGCACCATCACACTGGAGGAAAGAAAGGAGTTACTGGTAAGGAGGGAGTCTAACTGGTTAGGGGTAAGGGAGGGACAGTTTAACTGGTAAAGGGGCATTCTTATCAGTAATGAATGGCAGTCTTATGGTAAGGGGTAAAGGGCAGTTTAACTGGTAAGGGGGCATTCTTATCAGTAACAAAGGGCAGTCTTATGGTAAGGGACAAGGGGCAGTCTAACTGGGAGGGCAGTCTTGGTCAAGGGTAGTCTTACTGGTAGTGAGAGTGGGGGCAGTCTTACTGGTAGTGAGTGTGGGGGCAGTCTTACTGGTAGTGAGTGTGGGGGCAGTCTTACTGGTAGTGAGTGTGGGGGCAGTCTTACTGGTAGAGTGGGGGCAGTCTTACTAATAGTGAGTGTGGAGGCAGTCTTACTGGTAGTGAGAGTGGAGGCAGTCTTACTGATAAGGGGTAAGGGGACAGTCTTACTGATAAGGTTTAAGGGCCAGTCATTACTGGAAAGGGGGCTTGAGTTAAGCTTCTAATGTTACTGATTCTACTGTCATCAAAAATACATTATAAAAATATCAGATAAATAAATCTAATCAGTGTAATGTGTTTTAAATATGGTATATTTCCATTGAGACTCTAAAATTTTTAGGCAAAATATATGATAGATATTTTAAACTGGTACTAAGGATTTATATGCTCACATACTTTTTTAAATCTTCAGATATAACTATCATATCTCATGGATTTGCTTTTGACATATTCTCATATCCTATTTTCTTTTTCTTATCAAACTTGGGGCAGTGTGTTTGAAAGAAGCCAATAAGCATCAGGGAAAAAAATCACTGATTTTGGTATCTTTAAGATACATCTTTTATTTATTTTCTATATTAAAGTCCTACAACATGGACTCTATCATTTTGGAGCTTTAAAGTATTTCATCAGTATACAGAGCAATAAATATCAATCTTTCATTCTTTATTTTAGCTATTGGACAAAAGACCTCTGCGAACAAAGAAAATTTTGACAATAATGAAGAAAAAGAATGGTGGATTCCTCGCACTGAAGAAAGCACTGATGATTGAAAAAGTTCACAATAAACACTTAGTGGAGAAACTAGAGGCAAGATACCAGAAGTTTCTCCACAATCCTGTGTCTGCAAATCAGAAACCCAAGCTGAAAGAAAAACTCTCACCCACTGAAGTCATGCACATCTTCAATAGGTTAACTTCCCTGGTCTGGGGCAAAAACTCAAAGGAGATCAATGACACAAACTTTGTTGAATTTGATAAAGTTCTGGACGAACTTGAAAGTAATAGAGACTTGTTGTACAACGATGACAGAAGAGATGAATTTAGGTCATTGTTCACACTTATCATGCAAGTCAAAGAGGAAAATCGTCTCCATTCTGAAAATGAAAAAGTGATGAAAGATGAGGCCAAAAAACTAAAAAGAAAGCTAAAGGATGCTGAAGCCAAAAACGCTGACTTAGAGATGGAAATAACTGACTTACATCTGAGCCGTGAGGATGAAGTTAATCGTCGAATTGAGGAAGTCAGAAGAAGACTTCTTAAAAGTGGTCTAGATGATCCTGATGAAGAATTCTTCAATGGAAGAAAACAGGAAGTTGAAGAAGATGCAGTTGCTGTTCTGGATGACAAGAAAAGTGATGAAGAAGACAATTTTGATGAAAACTTTACCCCTGAAATCACAGAAAACAGCCATTTACTACAAAATAGACGTCAATCTTTTGAATCCACATCTTCTAGTATATTCATCAACAACCATCATCCAAAGTCCTCTCAAAATGTTATTCTGATTCAAAACCCCAGAAATGTTAACATCTTCTCCTAGCTGTACCCTCAATCTGTAGGTTTAATATTGTTAACTAATTTCTTTATTGTAAAACATAGGATCTTTACATATATATAAGTTGCATGTTCATGATCTCTTTTATTTCTTTGTTATGTTCATGTAGGACAAGACTTCTATTCAGAAAAAAATTATCTGTGTAAGTTGCAAAGAAGAAAAAAAACCCTTTACAATTCATATATATATAATATTATGTATTTGACTACACATTTACATGTATTCAGCTATGCCTTTGCTTGATTTTAATATTTTTGCAATATGTTACATTTGTTATAAATAAAAAGCAAAAACAATGAGTTAAGAATATGATTTAATATATTTAAGTGAACTTTCAAAAAGGGAAAAAAAAGATATGATTTATTAAGTTTGGTGAGGCATGCTTAAGTTTATTGAAACTAAATCTTCAGGGGTATGCTGTAAAACCTGAGACATCTATTGACATAAAAATGATGGCAGAATGAATTTTGAAAAATAATTCTTCCATACTTTGCTTGATTAAAAATGTTGACTTCTCCCCCAAATAATGACGATTTTTTTCTGAAAGTTAGGCTGTATATGGATGGATTATGTGAGAAAAGAATAATAAACGTGGTGGCCCATGGGTCTCTTATCATTTAAATTCTGTTTCAATTAATTTAAAGGCATCCAAAAAGAGAACATGCTGATTACTGAAGAAGCTAGTTGGAACAGCATAAACTCATCTCAACTTTTCTGAGATTATCCTATGTAAGTATTTATGGCCGTGACTATTACACAATCATTGTCTACAGGATTTAGAGCGAGAAAAAGATTTAATACCAAGATAAAAATTAAAGGTTTATAATAAACATTGGTTTATTGAAGAACGGATATGGGAACCAAGTGTTTTGGTCTGGATCCAAATTCATGTAATGTAACCCTATAGGATTGTGCATCTGTGATTAGGAACAAGAAAATTCTTCACACTTTTACAGGAACCCCGATGTAAAACAAAACACTTTACAATTTAGAAGTTACAGGTAAGAAATTGATGTAAAACAACTGTAAAATAATCTAAATGCTGATTTTTGAAAATACTTTGTTCTGGATAATTGAAAAATTCTGTCATCAAATATAAGCATTGGATTTTTAAATGCAAATTACATACTATGAAATTCAATTCCATTGACTGACACTTAATATTAATACAGTGTACCTGCCATAAAGCGTTAAAAATAATTGGAAGTATTACCGTGTAAGCACTATTTCTATAATTCAGTTTTGTTAAATGCAAATGAAATGAAAACCTCATTAATTACCACCTCAACTCCTCAATAATATAAGCTATCAGTGTAAGTTCATTATTTTGTAACTGTGAAATATTTACATTTGGTTAATCTGAGTCAAACAAATTAAACAAAAACAATTGAAAGATATCAATTAAAGCTTTTCTGCTTTATAATTAAAATTTTTTTTTTAATTTATAAAATGCAAAAAATTGTTAACATATATTAAGAAAAAAAATTAAACTGACTGAAGGACTGCACACCATATTGCGGGTCTATATTATTGATTTTTACAAGATCAGTGTAATCACAGACATTTAAATTGTCACAGCATTACCTTCTTTAACAATATCAGATTAATATCTTTATTATAATTAAATAGGAGTAGTCAATGCAACACCTGCACAAATTAATTAGAGGTTCTAAATATTCATCACCTAATACTTTAAGTATTTGAAACACTAGGCTTAATTGTGAGCTTTAACGCTGACCTGAGTATCATGGGTATATTTACATACTTTCCAAAACTTAAGGTGCCGTAATTTATATGTGCAATTATATATTAATTATTTTTCTCTAGTTGTTACAAACTCATAAACATGCAAACAGATTGTCCTTTGCAAGCACAATACTAAAGATTCTTTAAGCTGTATCACAATTTTCAATACAACCATCTAAGCCCTGACCTGAGGCCTGAATTTTTGACCCAGGAGTCATATATGTCACAAGTTCCAAAGATGTTTTACTGCTCTTTCTAACCATATCAACAAACTCACCTGCAGGATATCAAAGACAAAGACCAGTTGATGACTTCAAATATACATTGCTTTTTAATACTTGACAATATCTTGCCACAGTATGGGACAATGAATTTCTAAATCTTGCTTTAGGGCTCAGTTTCTTTTAAAAAAAAAAAAACAATTAAATGCACAGTTTGCTTGTCAAATAATCAATAGTAAAGAAGTTTTTTTTTAAGGTTTAATGCATCCACTTTATGATGACCAACTTAGCCACACCCAAATCCCTTTAAGAGGTCATGAATTTCATAAATTTGTTAGAGAGTTCAGACTGCAGAGGTCATCTTTAAAAAAATTGTTTGGTTGCCCTCTCCCAACAGACTGGCTAAAAATGGCCCAACTCAAAACTTTTTTTAACCTCCAGAAAACAATTATTTTTTATTCATTCCGGAAAAAAGATTCTGAAAATTCAGCATTGATGTTGCAATTTTCTGAGAAAAAAAATTTCCCACCTACTTATTGATCCAATTTTTTCATCCTGAGTCGGGAAAGGACAAACAAACATTATTCTATATATAGGGCTGGGACGATATATCGAGATATCGATAATATGGATTCTGTTTGAGGACGATACGCATATCGATACGTATGAAGAAATATCAAAATATCACAAAAAAATTCCGACTTATGTTTTTCTTTATTTACTTAATTTTTTGGGTTTAATATATAAAATAAATATGCTAAATATAATGCCTTGTTCACACAGAGAGTTTAATTCACAGTAATTTAATGCGAAGTAAAATGATGCGAATTAAACTAATGTAAATTAAATTGCGTTCACATGACAGCTAATGTGAAGGAAAGTAATGCGAATTATAATTTTATTTCTACAACATGGGTATTCAGTGAGGCTATTATGACGTCATTTACAAATCACGTCATATTGTGCAGAGCAGATGCATTTGACATAATGTCATAGTGTCTGAACACAATTTAGTGATTAACATAATTTTCCTCTGATTTCCACTCAAAAATACCACAAGTACCTATATTTGACCATCGACATGTGGCCTTTGACTTAATTCTACCCTTATGCATGCGTCAAAATTTAATCTGTTTTAGCTACCCTTAGCGTTCACACGGAGCTAATGTGAAGTAATTTAATGCGCAGTTAACTAATTCCCATTAAATTCTCCGAGTGAACGCGGATCAAATTTAATTCGCAGTAACTTACGCTTAATTCGAATTATTTACATTTGCAAATATTTTTCTTAGATGAACCTATTGAAGAGAAAATATGTTCAATTCTGTATTAACTTCTTAGGAGGTCAGAGGTCATGGCATGACCGAATCACACAGCGAGATGATATCTTGTCTACATATTTCTGTCACGGTGACACTGGTTTCGGAACTTCTAAGCTGTTAAATTGATGAAAAAGATAAAATTATTGAAACATATATGTTTTTTTTCGTTAAAAAATGATCATTAGTTCTTTCTTCGGTGTGAAGAATGTTTTTAATTAGCCTAAAATCACGCTTACCTTTTTAACCCAAAATTCCTTTGAACGTATGTAAACAGGAGATGATACCACCGCTTTTGACTTCATATATTAAGAACTCATACAATAATAGTAAGATTATTCTCAGTAGCGATCATTGTTTTTTCATTATGAACAGATATTTCCTGAACTGGACTGCTGAACATCAATGTAAGTATTCAAATGTTGGAGCGAGGTGAACTCTTAAGACCAAACAGCTTCTAGGTCATTGCGCGTCACAACATAGCAATACGGCGGGCCGTTCGTTTAATAAATGCAGTTCTTTTAAGAATATTCGTCTCAAATGTAAATAAAGTAATAAACAACAATGTTAAAAAGTTCACTGGGAAATGAACTTGGTATGTGATCAAATCTTCTGAGAAGCCCTTCGGACTTCACAGGATTTGATTATGTGACCAACCAAGTTCATTTCCCAGAGAACTTTTTAACATTGTTGTTTATTTCTTAATTAAAATCTCCATGTGAATAGGAGGGCATAAATAAGAAATACATAATAATTAACACCACTTGTGTAAAATAATTTGTTTTACAGCAGATTTACAATTTCTTTGAATAAATTATTCTTATTTGTGAAGAAATTTTTTGTACGAAAACCAGATAGGCTCATTTTTGACAAGACAAAAAAAATATTTAACTTGTTATAACGAGATAATTATCTCTTAATAACCAGTAAGTCAACTCGTTATAACAAGTAAGTATCTCGTTTTAACGAGATAATTATCTCATTATAATGAGTTAGTTATCTCGTTATAACGAGTTAATATCTCGTTTAACTAGTTAGTTATCTCGTTATAACGAGATAATTATCTCATTATAATGAGTTAGTTATCTCATTATAACGAGTTAGATATCTCGTTATAACGAGATAATTATCTCGTTATAACGAGATAAAAATTGATCTAAAGAGTTGATATATCTAAGTAAAGAATAGACCATTATTTATAGGAAATATGCAGAAGCGAGTCGATGAAATTTGTTTGAAGTGTGCATGATAAAGATTTTATGGAACAACAGCATACTAGTTTTTTGTGTTATGCCTTTGATTAGTACTGTTTATTGAAAAGACCGAAGACAAATATATATGGAAACTTATGACCGCCTCATGTTGTTGTGTTATACCTTAAAATTGCAAAATAGAATTAGTGTCATCTTCAAATGGAATGTATATAACGTCAAAATTTTGACAACTTGTACAAGGAGATCAGAAAAAATGATATACTCTGGCTTATTTAACTGCCCTGTTCAAGCTTTCTTGACTTTGGTAAAATTATGATAATTTTTGCGTAATACTTGTCGCAATAAAAAGTGCATAGAAATAATCCCATTATTTTACATATTCTGAATTAATAATGTTGATATGATACCATTTGTTAGGCTTTAACGTCCATATTTTGATAATTCCTTGCCTGTTAACAAGTTCAATTTTATCGTCTTAAAGGGGC